GCAGACATGCTGCTGTGTAGTGAATACAATGTGTATATGTAGGGAATGTATTGTGTCTGCATGGTGAATGCAGTGTGTGTGTGTACAGTGAATGCAGTGTAAGTGTATGTGTATAGTGGATGTAATGTCTGTGTATAAGGGATGTAGTGTGTGTGAGTGTATAGTGAATGTAGTGTGTTTGTGTGTAGTGGGTGTAATGTTTGTGTGTGTAAGGGATGTAGTGTGTGTGGGGTTTAATGTGTGTGTAGTGGAAGCTGTTTGTGTAGGTGATGTAGTGTTAGTGTGAATTTGGGAGGTGAAATAGGGACTGTGTTCTGTGGGGGGTGACAGAGATGCAGTTTGATTTTACTTTTTAAAAATTATTATTATTATTTTTTTATGTTATAAAGTTTATTCCTCCCTTCCCACTTCTTACCTCTGGCCAGGGAGGTGGTACACAACATTCCAAGCTAGGCCAGTGTTCTCATGGTCTAGAGCAGGCATAGGCAACCTTCGGCACTCCAGATGTTTTGGACTACACCTCCCATGATGCTTTACCAGCAAGAGCATTATGGGGGATGTAGTCCACGACATCTGGAGTGCCGAAGGTTGCCTATCCCTGGTCTAGAGAATCAATGCTGCACCTCTGCCGGGGCAGATTCTACTCTTGAGTCCTGGCATTGTGCAGCGTCGAAGTGTTGCCATGGTAACCATGTTGCAATGCGCTGACAGGTCAGTGCGTGGGGAAGAGAGGGAGCTGCAGAGAGTCACACCGGGCTTCCCCTTCTGCTACAGGACCCTGCAATGACACGATGAACAAGATCTCCCTTACCAGACCATATTTTGGCTGTATGTATATATATATATATAGTGATACTTGCTAGGTTTATATACAGTGTAAAGGACACATCTGTGGGTAGGTTTTACTCCATATTTTGTAGAAAAAAAACTGTCTAATATTCCGAAAAATATGGTATCTTGTATATTACGTGATATTAAGTGATTTTGTTTGTGTGTGTAATACTAGTGTGAGTTTGCTGGCCCTTAGGACTCCATTAATCTCATGGCTATATTCATTCTCAGGTCTTCCCAAGATGGTCTAGTGAATGTTGCATTACCAGGCAAGGAGGCACAGAAAAAGTAATTGAATGGCGATTTTAGACGATTCACCAGAACCACCACAGCTTAATGTAGTGGTTCTGGGACAAATACAGTCCCTGCAGTCTCAACAGTGTAGACACGCTGCCTTTCCTGAGAAAAGGTAGTCTTTACACTGCTGCCTAATGCCACTTCTAGTGGCTGTCAAACCATATGCTTCATGGGTACTGGGCTGCAAAGATTTCAGGGCCAGCATTCAGTATTTCTGCATGGAAATTTGAATGGTACCCATGACTCAATGCATTTCTAGGAGATGCCGATTGAAACAATGCACATGTGCACTAGCCTTCCAATGCTTAACTGTGATGATGATCACAGCCAGGAAGGCAGGATGATGGCATGGAGATTTGTGTGCCAGTAGAAGAATGGTAAGTAAATCTATTTTTTTTAATTCACACAGGGGGTCAATAATCCCAACTATAACACTATATTAAAAGGAATTGAGGTTTGTATTTCTAACACTATAGTGTCACTTTAAGAATAAAGAGCATTAAAGAATAGGCACCAAATGCAGATGATGCATTGAATCTTTTTGAAAAATTATATTAAAAATAACTAAAATTATTGTTTAAGCATATAATAATGAAGAGCAAAAATTGCACTCAGTGATTATTCCAGAAAAATATTTTTTTAGAATTGTTTTTATTTTTTTCTGTATTTTTTTTACAAAATATTTAACGCCACTTAATTGTCTCTCATTCATAACTATTGTTGGTCCTAATGTCTTTATCATCTTCACTTTTATTAAGTTTTTGTTTGTCTACGGTATGAAGCCATCACTCTCACTTTGGTATTTATCCTGTGTTTTATATTGGATATGGTTTATCACCGTGCTTTGTTTGCTTTACACATTGTCTTGATAAAAAAGTCCCATGTGGGAACTGAAATGTTGATCTTATATGTAAGGTGAAAAATGTTGAAATTGTACTTTAAAAGTTATGTGAATGCATACTATCTTTCTATCAATTCTCAGGCTTGGATTTGCCATAAGGCCACCCAAGGCAAGCAATACAAGGGTGGCACTGCCGGGTGTGAGCAGACAACGTTAAATGCTACCTTTCAGTATTGGAAGATCATTAAAATAGCGCAGCTTGTCCTTCCTTTGAGTCCACAAATGAATACTGTGAGCAGGACCTTTAGAAGTATTAGGGAAATCCCGATATCTTTTTAAAGTTCTACCAAACCCCCTGCTGACATGTGCCTGCACTAGAATAAGAGGACATAAAGCTTTGCAATGGACAGAGCACCATTACTCATTGCTGCTTGTTAGTGTTGGACTAGAACATGCCCTCATCATGTAAAGAAGAATATTGCATTTTAAAGGGATAGTCAAAGTCGATATATGTCAGGGTGAGAGTATATATATGTACGTGTATATATAAGTATGGGGAAGTGTATGTGTGTATCTGTTGTGTAAGAGAGTGTAAGTGCATGTGCAAGAGGGAGTGTGTTTGTATAGAAAGGCAGTGTAGCTATGTGTATACAAAGAAAGTGTGTATATTTGTAATGAAGAAATAGTGCATTAGTGTAAGGGGTAGTGTGTGTTTGTACATAAAGTACAGAGTATGTAGCAATGTGTATATGCAAAGACTGTATTGTGTGTGTGTAATGAATAGTGAGTGTGTTAATGTGTGTGAGACTGTATGTATATGAACACTATGTGGTTATATATGTGTAGAAGTAATCATGTGTGTGTGTTATATATTGTTTGTAAGCTAAAGACATCCTTATCAAATTCATAAACATATTCCACCAGTAATTGTTGAAGAATAATTATTTATTGACCTTAATGGCAGTCAGATTTCTTTTTTGGATCTACAAACTGTTTGCATACTTATCATTTATATCTGTCAAAATTCTGTGTTTGCAATAAATCATCCAAGCCTTTTATAAGAAATATCTATAGAATCTAGGTAGAAAATGCCATATTTTTTGCTCTTCCTGTAAAGAACCCTTCCCCCTGCTGTAATTGAATATGTCTTTCTTCCAGTCTAAATGGGTCACCTCCTGCCTTTTGTATATTTCTAATGAACAGGTTAGCATGTATCGACCTTGTATATTTTTTGTACAGTGCTATCATATCCCCTCTGAGGAGTTTTTTTTTTCTTATGAAAGCAAATGCAGTTTTTAGTATTTCTTCATAACTTTCCATTTTTTTTTAGCTCACCTCTGCATTTTTTTTCTTGTATCCTCGGAACAGGCATGATTGCATCATGATGCATTACTGACCTCTTGTATGGCCATGTTGTTAATCTGACACCCAACTTTGCCCATTTTTCTTATGTCAGCCAACATGTATTATACATCACACAGATGATTGGGTGCCAACATAGTACATATTATACTTGTGCATGGTGAGAAGATTCACATTGGCCATACCATTTTTCCAAAAACCAAACATTTTTTGGGATTCCCGAATTTCTGTCCGATGTCAGTTTAGCTCTGCAGAATTTCAGTACCAAAAACCCAATTCATGAACCAAATCAAATAAACCAAAAAATTTGAAAACATGCCAATCAATGCACTATAAAATATATACATAATATAATACTATGTATATATTTTACACTACACTAATAGGAGCATCTACCCGCCATTTGGTTCACAGATCGCGTGAGAAAAAGTATCCAACAGAGGGAAAAACACGATGAGCAGAAAGAAAAATAATCTATATTCATATATTTACACTGATAAGCCACAACATTAAAACCAATGACAGGTGTTAAGGGGTGGGATATATCAGGCAGCAAGTGAACAGTCAGTTCGTGAAGTTCATGTGCAATGGAAGAAGGTTGCCTGGTCTGATTAGACACATTTTTCTTTTTGATCAGGAGGATGGCCAGATGTGGTTGCGTGGGCGTCATTTACCTGAGGAAGAGATGTCAGCAGTATGCATGAAGAAGACAGGCTGGCAGATTACACTCTTGGCAATGTTCTGCTGGGAAACCTTGGATCCTGGCATTTATGTGGATGTTCCTTTGACATGTACCACCTACCTAGAGATTATTGTAGATGACATACACCCCTTAATGGCAATGGTGTGCTTTCATGGCATTGACCTCTTTAAGCAGCACAATGATCCTGCCACACTCCAAAAAATTGTTCAGGTATGATTTGAGGGATACGATAACGAGTTCAAGGTATTGCCTAGGCCTCGGAAATACCCAGATCTCAATCCAATTGAGAATCCGTGGGATGTGTTTAAAAAATAAATCCGATCCTTGGAGGTCACACCTCGTAACTTGCAGATCCTGCTGCTAATGTCTTGGTGCCAGATACCACAGGACTCGTTCAGAATTCTTGTGGAGTCGATGCCTCAATGCATCATGTTTTGGCAGCACAAGGGGGACCTACTCAATATTAGGCAGGTGGTTTTAATGTTGTGACTGATCACTGTATATATATTATATATTTAATAAAATATACAATATGTATGGAATTTTTTTACTATTCCTACTTTTCCCCCTCTGTTGCTCACTTAATCTGTGAATAAAATCAACATTTACTGACTGTCCCCTAACCGTTAATCATCGTTTTCCTATTAATCATCTCTTTTTTTTGTGGCACCAGTGGAGGTATCCAGAATCACAAATTAAAATGAACATGCTAATTTCGATTAGTTCGTGATTTTGGTACATTTTGGCTCAGAGTTCAGGAATTTAACCGATAACCCAATCTTCCCAAATTCAGACGAATTGCAGTTCGGATTAAACATATCTCCAGGTTTAGTGTATATGTGCGTCAACATACTTCTGATGGATGGTGGTATTGAAACTTTCTTAAAATTCAATATATTGGTAGTTTTCTGTTACCTAGACCTGTTGACTTAAGCAAGTAAGTTTATAAGAGAATTGATACGCTTATCTATGTAAAGCATTCGATTGCCAGATTGGGGTGATTGCCATGGATTACAATAGGGGAGATGGGGGAAAATCAAAACAAAATTTAAATTAGAGTGTTCCTCTAACAAACCAAAAACATATTTTTAAAAATAACACACACTCTTTGGCAGATATTGAAATCAGAAGTCATATTAGTGCAAAACAGAGGAAATAACACAAAACAAACACATACGTTTATCACATCGTTTTATTTAATACAAAACATTGGATAAAAATACAAACAATTAGGTGGTTAGGCACTCTCTGAGACCAATCAGCAGCACAAACTCACCTCTCATCGATAAACAAAATATTGGCAGGAGCTTCGAAAAACGTTGCACCAATTAAATTACACCAAATATATTATACCTTTGAAAATGATTTTAGAGCAATAAATAAAAAAAGGCAGTCAAATAAAAATCACCAATGCATTACAAAACAATATTAAATAAAATCACAATACTAATAACAATGTGCAGTCAAGTTTTATTTTTTTTTATTCTTCTACGAATGAAAACATGCCAGTAAAGTCCCTATGTAACATTTCCAGTTTGGCAATAATCGATTATTCATTCACATAGTTATTATTTTAAATAATTTCCCACTAACACAAAAAAACATAAGGCCTGGGCAAACATGATTTATATTCATTAGTATTTTCTTTGGTAACGTTATTTCCATATCTGAGAAATGTGGCCCCCTTTTCCCCTCTATGTTACACATAGAGGTTAAGATTTAATTTTATGTATTTTTTTTAAACTATCAGATAAGAATATGACAGAGATAATAGTGAAGAAATAATGGGTATGCTGGAAAATTATATGTATATTGTATATACAAAAAAAAAATAGTTTTTGACCAAATTGTATATTCTTTTATGCTTCTGTATTGTTTTATAAATCAATTATTAGAAACACAGGAAGACAGAATTTGATCAACGTACATGAAATATACTTAGGTATATTAAGACTAAATCAAGTACTTTAGAAAAAAAAAACTATATTACAGAACCGTGGATAAATGTTCTGACAAAATCAAAGGTAGTTCAAAAAGGAGTAGAAGCGATTAAAAAAAGTACAAATCCTGCCTAAATTAAAATATACACAAATAATATATTAGTAACATAAACTAAATATATAGGTGTGTGCAAAGAGAAACTTTAGACTTAAAGCGGTTTGTTTTGTGTTTATTTATGAGTTCACAGCGTTACGTCTGAACTTGTCTGCAACACAGAACAGTGTGACAAGACTCCAAGACTTATTAAACCTATTAAAATCAAATATGTTGGACTTGGTACTGCATTCACATGGTTTCTATTCCAATGGTGCTTTAAATATATATCATACTCATCGAATGCTTAACAATTTTCTGTTAAAATATGCTAATGTGCGTTTCACATTAATGTTTGTTCTACTATTATTAGTTTATTTTGATTTTATTTTTAAGTTTTCAATTTTTTTTTATTTTTAGATTTGTGGGACCTTCTTGTTATTATTTGCTGCGTGACAGATGTAGCTTCTTTACCCTTGAATACTGTTATCATTTTCTTGTGAGTCCTAATCTAAGATTTATTCATTCTATTTTGTATATAAAAAAATTTGAATCTTGCCCTTCTGCTTGTCCTTTTTTTTTTCATGACCGAACATATGCTGCATCGAATGTGATTGCTGCCGAAATAAAAAATCTGAAAAATGTATTAGGGCATATGGGAGGACATTAGCACATAGCTCATTTTTGACCAGCCTAATAAACGTGCACAGTAAAAAAAAGTCAATGTTTCTGAGACATAACCAGTATGAAAATACCAAAACCCAATTATGGCTTTTAATAAGTCAATTTGATATTTTTCAAAAACCTCTTTGTGAGACATCGAAACAGTGTATTTAAGCAGGAAAATAAGGAGACATATTGTATGAGTGAGACTGAATTCACTTATTACAATCCAAACTAAAGTAAAATCAGGTAGTGTATCAAAACATCTAATTAAACCAAACACAGGCTTTTCTATTCAAACAGAAACATTTTTTTTTTTTTGGCATCTGTGGTTAGTCATGTGAAAACAAACATTATGTGTTTGCCCAGGCCTATCATGTATGCAACATATGTTAACACTTGTGTGCTTTCACACAGTCCAGTTGACCCATGAAACACCTTCATGGTAAAAGTCACACCTTTCTTTCTCAAGTGACCATTCTTCATACGGTTTAACAGGAATTAGAAAGAATGTGGTTCCACTGCTGTTTAAAAACAAAATGAGCTACAATTCAGCTCTTGGATGGTAATGGATATTTGATACTAAAAGCTGTGGAGTCAATTCTTGGCCAGTTCCTGGTTCTCTCAATAACAGTTTTATTCCATTGATCCATTAGAATATCCTGCTTACATTACACGTCTTTTCTTTTAATTACAAATTATACACGTACTTGCTCCAAATCCACGTTTAAAAAAACAACACCTTTTTAGTTCCAACTTGCCCTGCCATTACTACTTGCCATTTTCCTTTCTACCTACATTCTAAAGCAATCTGACACACGGTCACATATCCACTATTACACCCATAAATATTTCAAGTCTTTTATTTTGCTGACAGTGAAAGTGAAGAAACTTGAACCCTGTACCCAGTAAAATTATTTGCCAACTAAAATGGGCAAAATCATTATTTATTATATGAAAAATAAGTGAAAGCATGTCCAAGCTTTTATTCAACCCAGGGTATCGCTCTTTTATGTTCAATTCTAAGGTTCTCGGATTACGTTTGGCATCTGTACAGATCCTTTTATAACCAGATGAAAACAAATTAACAGGTCAAAAAACACAGCAAAATACATTACTGCACCTCTAAAATGTTAATTTGTTGTATTTATTAAAGATTTAAAAAAAAAAATACTACATTACTATATGAGCCAGCAGACAAAAACTACACATAGTGCACTTTGAGTACGAAAGCAGATTGAATTTCTGTATGTTTGACATATGTAAGTATCTAAAATCTTGTTTATTTTGTTGGAGAACACGTTCAAACGCCTTACTTGCAGAATTCAAACAATGTTATAGAATTCTTTCTAAGGGTACACATTCTTAAAAATTGTTCTCATACAGTTATAAAGGTTAAAATGTATGGTGTTAAAACCTAGTGATAATATTCTCTTGATAAAATAATACGTTTAGTATTTATGTGAAGAATCAGGAGGGGTCAGAAAATGAACAAAACATAATCCATTATTTTTGTATCCTCTAAAGCCTTGATAACTATATTAAATTTTAGTTGGCGTATCATGAGTTAATTTAAAGGCACACGTATCATATAAACATATAAAATTTTCCAGTCACAGCAATAATAATATCACTGTAAGTTATGCGGGTGACTTTACATTTTGTTCTTTTCGCATTTTTAATTTAATTATTTGACTGGAGCGATGTTTATTATTTGTATAAAAGAAGCACCTATTTTTCACATATATGCTAAGTATGACCCGATAAAGCCTTTACCTTCTTATAAATACTTGATAGAAATAAATAGTTAAATAATAATTGTTTAATATTCAGATGATTACCTATTTAATATGTAAAACAAATCTATCTACCAAAGCATCCCACAGCTGTAACCTCAAACTTCTGGGGTGCACTGCTGACCAGCTGTCCCCAAGTTTGGGAACAATTTAACACAAGCTGGGAGATCTGCTATTAATCACTCCCATCATACTTTAATAGTATAATCTACAGGAACTAAGGAATGGATAGTAAATATACAAAAATATCTAAACGTCACCATTTTTGTGAACAGAGTTTTTTTTTAGCAAGATCTTTGCTAAACAAAAGGGGTATTTGACATTTTGACTTTGAGAGTGCAGGAATGAGAAGAATTAACATAAGTATATATTATGTTTATATATAGGTCAATATAGGAACTTTTACGGATATCTAAATATAAATAAATTATTCATAAAAAAAGATGGTACCCGCATAAAACAGCTTTATAATTTGAACTTGTTTGAGTTTTATGTGTGCAACATATTGCAAAACGAAGTTATCCTTAGAACCTCCAGCAATCAAATGCTTCTGTAACTTTTTTTTTACGAACAATACTGCAGGTACCAGTGGCATAAATCTGGAAAAATCCTTTTTTTGTGCCTCTATTAAAATGTAATTTAACTTTTTAAGAAAAAGGAAAAACATCGTTCACACTAAATGGATAATTTTCACAAGACTCCCTTAACTTTAAGACTGGTAGTAATTTTTCACTAAGCCAAAAAAAAAAAAAAAAAAAAAGGGTCATGTGCACTTAAGAGGCTATTTGTGTAGTTTATATTCTACACTAATACTGTCAGCAAAGTATTCATCACAAAACTATTATCCTTCTGTGACAACATTAGTTAAGCTTGTTGCATATTTCTAAAGCTTTTTTGTAGACCTGAGTGACGTCATCCATATCTGCAAGTAGAGAAAAACTGCTGTCCGCAAAACGGTTTCTGTAACGTTTTAGGTTTTGCGGACGAGGGCTTTTCTGTAGGCCCTCAAAATCCTGAAGGTATAGAATGTTTTCCGCTGAGACACAACTACGTATTCTGGGTCTGTTTGTTCTGCCACCTGCTAATTCAAGCAACTCAAAAGAATCATTTGAAAGGATGCTGTCGTCACTGATCACACTAGACGGTCTACTGTAACTTCGAGACAACCCTTCCACTGGTGTCACTCCTTCTTCCATAGGTTCCACTGACGGTGCAGCAGTGCTGGCCATTGAACAATCTGCATTACCACTTGAATATTTACTGTTGTGCTTTAATATGCCCTTTCGTCTGTAAGAAAGGCTATGAGACACAGTTCTTTTCGGCTCATGGACTACTTGAGAAACATCAATGCTTTCTCTTTCATCATTGTCCAGTAGTTCAGAAGACTCACTTCTCTCTGGAGAAGAATAATAGCCAGACTCTCTTTGTGGAGTCTTTTTTAAAATACCCTTCTTCGGCATGGGCGTAGATTGCTTTGAACTGTATAATGCTGATTCTTTCAGCTCTCGCATGCTGCTAGAAGATGCATTATTATGGCCCTTTTCACTTTCATTCTTGTACGGAGAAGACAATGTAGGACTAACAACTCCTTCTATAAATCCAGCACTATGACAACGGTGCTCACTGTTGCTTCTTTTTTTCAATATACCTTTTGGTCTCTTTGATATAATCTTTGAATCACTTTCTTCAGTCCCATCCTGCAAAGACTGTGCAATGTCATTTTCCTTCTTGGATTTCTTTAAAGACCTCTGTCGCTCTAGCGAAACTTCGGATGGTTTGGGAAGGCACTTACTTTTACTTTCTGAATCCAGCTGCCTGCCAGTGGAACGATACTGCCAATCAATGAATCTGGCAAATAGGGGAGATTCAGAGTCCCTCAAGACATCACAGTCACACACGCTACTCTTGTAGCTCCAGTTAACCCACCAATGGTTGGCAATATCTTCAATTGTGGCTCGACGCTCTGGATTAACCATAAGCATCCATCTAATCAAACCACGTGCATCTAGAAAAAAATAAATAATTGAAGACGTTACCACAAACTTTATTTTATTTATCAATGATATCTGCTGAATCAACTAAAGGAACATTGTAGCATTAGGAATACATATCTGTATTGCAAACGCTAGCGCCCTGATGCTCCTAATCAATTAGGTTCCCCCTTGTGTAAAAGAAAAAAACTAAATCTGCAGTGCTGAGTCTCAGTCGGCGCTGCTGAAACCTCCTCCTTGGGTTGGAGGCCAATCCAATGCTCCTCATGGATGAACATTGAGAACATTAGGCTCATGCGTGGAGCTTGCCGTGATGCACCTAAGATTCTGCCATAGAGAATCATAGAATACACGCGTGACATCACATTGTGTTACGGAATAAGAACCAAGAATTAAGATTCAGACACTGGTTTAGGGATGGAGAGCTGCACAGAGGGAGAGAAAGAGAGTGATTTATCTGTAGGGGAGGGAAACTGGACAGACTGAGAGAGAGCCAGCAGTGTAACTTATGGGGAGCGGGACTGCATGGAGGGAGAGAGGCACTGAGGTATGTGAATAAGAGGGGGCAGCACAGACAGAGACAGGCAGAGCAGCCTGACTGTGAAGTATATGAAGGGAAGGGGGAGAGAGGGCTTCACTTGAAGGCATGCTCCTAACTCTGCCGGCAAGTGAAGAGTGAACAGATGTGAAATATGCACAAAATTAACATAAGGCAGTCAGGAACACCTATGTCACATGTGCTGGGGGAGTAAGTAGCCCCAAGCACAAAAGTTCTCTGTATGTGCAGTGTTTCAGGCAAAAACACTGCACAAACTGACTACTACCACCATGACCACTTCTAAAAGCAGAAGTGGTCATGGTGGTTGGAGTAACCCTTTAATAAATTAGGCAAACTTTTATGAATGGTGCATGTTTGTAATTATTTTTATTTTATGTCAATAAATATCTTATTATAAAAGACTTTGTACATTATTCATAATTTAATTACATTAACACTGCTAAATTTCTTTGGATTTATACATGCAAGTCAGCAATCTGACACGAGTAGTAAATTGACTAATTCATGTGACAAATTGACTAGTTCGTGTGACATTTCACAAACAGTAACAGATATCCATTACTTTACATTGTACTATAATAAAGCCAATGTTTATTGAACCAGATAATATCTCTACCTGAAGGCTGCGTAGGTTCACGATATTCTCCACTGCTTATTTGCCTGATTAGGTTTTTGTGGTCAAAACCATCAAATGGCATTGTTCCATATACCAACGTGTAAAGAAGCACACCGAGGGCCCAACTGTCAACCTAAAACACAAGATACTTTTTTTTAATCAGAAATCATTAGACACAGTATGAAGATGGGCAAAACATAGAATAATTATGTTTTTACTATGGTTGATCACTCTGCAATAAAGCAGAAATAATGAAAAGAAAAATCCACACTGTAAGATGAAGGTAAAGTACAGTTTTTGTTCTGGTCACTGGGCATCCAACACACTCACTAATGCATTTGGCAAGATGACACTGTAACTAATATATCTACTGTATCATTTCTAGCGAAAGGTTGGGTGGGTCTCCTACTCATGAAATAGTATCGGGCCACAGAACAGTTTCTTCATAAAGAGGTTATTTGATCAATCACTGATGATCTTGTGCGGAATGTTGAAGTCGATTTCCGTGGAGAAGCAATTCAAGAAATAATTAACAAATAAATTAATATACAAATTATGTGAAGAGGGTTCTGCTCAAATCCTATTCTTATTATGCCTTTTACTTTTATACTGTATATGTTTTTTTTTTCAGTGGTTGTGGAATGCCAGTTGAAATTACATGTTAAGTATAGTTACTTAATAAAACACAGCATTGTTCTGGTGAGAACTTTTTGGCACATTTGAAATGGTCACTATAAAACGACCAGTCACATGGCAGATGTTTGCACGATGTGACAGCTAACTACAAGTTAAATTTTTCTTTCATAAAAAAAAAAAATCTCAACTGTGTTCATTATTTTAATTTACACTTTCTGCCTGGTTGTCTTGGCACAGTCTGAGCATGCCATACAAAATAAGCTAACCTGTTCAGTGCCATGCTTAGAGACACATGCGCAGGTAGGCATTGCTGAAGATATACTCAAGTGTGTATGTGCTATTGCAGATGCCTAAATGTGTATTAAAGAAACACTATAGTGTTAGGAATGCAAACATGCATTCCTAATGCTATATTGTTCCCCTAACGTTGCAATTGTTCACCCGCCCTTGTAGAGGTTTAAAAGGTAAGTTTTACTTACCTAACATACCAGGGTACACCGGTCTACATACTGCTGCTCCACCAACCAGGCTGAGATCATCAAGATTGTTGATTTCAGCCAATACAATGATTTGCCATAGAGAAGCATTGAGGCTAGTGCCCATGCGCAGCAAAAGGCTGTGCTGTGCCAATCAATTACTCTCTAGGAGAGTCATTTGATACATAGCCGAGTTTAACTTGGCTATAGCTGCGGAAGTGAATTAAGTTGCTGTCTTCCTGACAGCCAGTAGAGGTATGTTAATCCTGCAATGAAAACATCGCCCTTCCTTCAAAATGAAAACATTGCTGTTCCTCATTAAAACTACAGGAACATGGCACCCAGACTACTTCATCTTAATGTCCCTTTAACATGCATGCACTAGTGAGGTAACAGTGTTTCTGCTATCTCCACTGGCAGTGGCAGTTTGACTTTAGATATCTATATAATAATAATATCTATATAATGTATAAAAGTATCCCACTCACCCGTGCCCAACTACGAACACAGTCACATACATCCAGACATTTATACACTCTGGGTCTCTTACACACCACCTTGCCACATTCCCCTACCTGCTTCCCCAGTCACCTATATCCCTGCACCCCTTGAAAAACAAAAATCCTGTACCAAGGTGCAGGACCCCTTTGCTCATCCCTGTAACAAAATATAAGAATACCCTCCTTACAAAGTAACAAGAAAGAGTTGAAAAATGTTGGCAACAAATTTAGAAACAACATACCTCGGGTCCACGATATGGCCTCCCATTTACTATTTCAGGTGATGCATAAAGAGGGCTGCCACAGAATGTCTGTAAGAATTTGTCTTTTTGGTAAAGATTTGAAAGTCCAAAGTCTGCTATCTGAAAAAATAAACACACAAATAAATATAATCTGTAAAAAAAAAATGTACATATACATATATATCTACATATAATCTGCCAAAAAAAAAAATACATATATAAATTGTTTTGACTATGGGCAGTTAAGACATCCAAGAATTTGCAATATCCGATTTGATGAAATGTTGTCAAAGGTATTTTTTTTTTAACGCTAAATTCTATTTAAATCTTTTTTTAACATTGATAAGACATAATTGCACAGGAAACAAAAAAAAAAGTCAGATTTTCATTGTGTCTGAGGAATGCAGATTTAGAAAAACCAAAAAAAACAAGACGTCTTTATGCCTATCCTGAAATGGTATTCTTAAACTCAAATTGCCTTTAATTGGCCTAAATTCCTTTTTCTTATCAATTCACCCTGACTGGTTTACAGGAAGTTACTCTTAAGCCTTAAGAAGTGTGCCTTGTCAATCACAAAAGAAAGAATGGAATAGTATTTGAGGGTAGTTGAGGTTCCATCATGATTCTGTTGACCTACTCTCAGATAGCTATTCTGTAAGGATTATTTTTGGCTAAAATTATGCCTTATGTTTTCCTTAGCAAAACACATTCTCCTAATGGCCTGAAACATTTTAAAAATGAATTGAAAACCATGATATATTTGTTTTCTCAAGAAAGATTTAGTAGTTTCAGCAGCCATGTTTTTATTCTGGTCATTCAGGAAGATATTATTTACATTAAGGTCCACTCCCATCCTTGCAGACTGATGTTTATCAGCTTTACCCATTAAAGCTGTCAGACCCCTTGAAACAAGATTAATAGAATCCAAGATTACTTCAGAGTCTTGGCACTTAAAAAGCATCAATCCAGTTATTTAAAAGAAAGGAGAAAAATAAACTGGAGACATTTAGAGGAAATATTGTAATTTTAGACTTTGTTTTTTTTATTTTTTAGTGAAGAAAATTGTTCACATTTTTTTTAATTTTGGAAATAATTCCCAATATTCTTTAAAACAGACACACAATAAATGAATGGACTTTTCTCAGCAGAATGTGTTACCATGTTGCTACGTAGAAGAACAAGGAATTTATACACTGACAAGTTATCTATAAAACAAGAGGCAGTTAAATAATTTTTAATTACGTTAACGTTGTTTCGCAACACACATTTTGTCTAATCAGTGTGTATTCTATATGTTCCCATTAGTGTAGCATTGGTATGAACACTTAAATGATATACAGGAATATTACTTTCAATATTTTATAAACTTCTACTAATTCATGTGATTTCACCTAAAAAATCTAAGTGCATAAAGATGTTAAAGCAGGGGTACCCAAAAGGTGGATTCCCCGATGTTTTAAAACTACAGCTTCCAAGGGAGTTGTATTTCTACATCATCTGGGGACCTAGCCTTTGGGCTCCCTTGTGTTAAAGGGTCATTACCACTAAAATATTTAAGATTTTAAAACATTAGGTCTCATAGTTGCTGGAATTATTTGCTATTATAAACCTTCCCATTTAGAGTGATAAAATATTATTCGATCCGCTATTAAAAAGAATGTAATAATATTCCAAATTGGATAGAAATGCCACTAAACGCATTTTGTCTAATTTGCTGCAATACATTTGGCTTATAGTAAAAATACAGATCTATGTGAAAATATTAGGTGTTACTCCTAGCAATTTTTATTAAAAAAAAAAGTTTGCATAAATAACATGAAAAATGCATGACTTATCCTAAATATCCTATATATTAGTATGATGTAGGTACATGAAAAAGGGAAATTATCATTGAATCAAAGATGGCAAAACAACAAAATTGTTTTCATCTCGTGGTGCAAATAGCTTGTATTCTTAAGGGGAATTATAATGAGCAGCAGTTGCAAACTGTTGCGATTTAAAAAGTGATTAAAAAATAAATAAATAAATGTAAAACTCAATAGGGTGTCGCAAGTAGAACTGTAATTTCATGCAAAAAGATTTGTAGTTATTTAAAAAATGCAATTAAGATTAATTATTACAAAGTGCTTAAGCATGTTTATTTTTTGTGGAATACAAGGTGGATTGTTTGCTAGAAGTCTTTCACAGTGGTTGGCTCGACCTTTTGGAACGCCTTACAAAAATCACTGGCATGCATACAATTAACATCACAGCACAGAGTGAGATTTCTTCATTAGCTTTAATACGTCAAAAAACTTGACCTCAACTAAATAATTCCAATAAGCAAAGACAATTGTGAAGCATTCTTTGGATGTTCACTGAGAAAAGAATTCCTTCATTATACTGAGTTTTATAATATATTGAAAGGTGGTATTTGTCTTCACTTATGCTCAAAACAATGCGGTGTATTCTAATGTTGGGGTTGGTGATAGCTCATTTGACCCAGTGCACAGACTTATACTGAAATGGTTAATGCTGTGGAATGTGCTTGATTAGTTTGGAGAGCTGAGGTCTATTCAGGTCAAGCAAGTAGATCAGGTCAAGGAATGTGCACCTCCAAAGGTGGCTAAAGGAAGTTTTAAACGAGAAATATTGCTTTATTTCCTTTTTATTTTGTACCATATTCTAAATATCTTTTCACTTAAAAAATAAAGATATTTTTTGCTAAAATCCATTTATTTGAGCTCACTAGAGCTCTCAAACTCTAATATAATGTTATTAAGATAAAACTTAGAAGGTTGTTTGAAGAACTGGCACTTTTTAATAAAGATACATTTTTTATTAAAACATTCCATTCGTTTTGATGAAATTATCTTTAGATTCTATTCCATTTAAAAAAAAAAAATATTTGAAATTAGCGACTATACTGCCTTATGGGTGGATATTAAATCTGCGAATGGAATATTAAATCAACATTTTCACAATTTGAATCATTGATGACCAACTTTAAAAAAGAAATAGAAAACATATACAAAAATATTCCACCAAGGTCCGAAATTTTATAGAACCCTTCTTGTTACCTTGTGCAAGTATCAGAATAGATACAATGGTAATGGATACTGTAAAATTGGAACGCGTAGTAAAGAAGATGATAGCGTGAAAGATTACATTTTTTTTAACCAGACCTTTGCTTTTATAATAGAGACAGAAGTATTTTTAGACCCATCCTGTCTGCCTAATTTAAAGTTCTAGTCTATTATCTAACGCTGACATGCCATTCTGGAGGCTGCTCAATGAAAAATTCCACTTCTGTCAGTAATACCTTGTTACTTTCAATTAAGATTTTTTAGATTAAATGTAAATCAGAGCAGGATCAGTGAAAGAAAATCCCCAATAACTCGGAATGTTGTCTCCAACCATACTCCCTGTCTCCTGTCATATTGAAGTAGACTAGACAGAAAGGTTTTTTTTTTTTTTCAAAAAAATCCCTGTGAATACTTAGTAAGAAAACTGAAACAGTGTTGAAGATTTGTAACAAATTTGTTTAGTTCAAAAACTGTCTGCTAAGCTACTTTGGTTACATTTCCGTACCGTGCGTGCTTATCATTTTAAAAGCAGACTTGCATTTCCTCTGTTCTGTCACAATGAAATACCCTGTACAAAATGTTCAGATTTTTAAGGTCTTTGGAGGTTTTTAAAACTTATACTTGATTGTTCCACCTTACGGCGGAAGGAGCAACAGTGTTTAATTTATCCGGGAGAACTTGTTGTCAATGTAAGTGACGTAGACAACTTGTTAAAATATCAACCTACAGTGAATACATCACTGCTAGTCAATGGATGTAATGTGTATTTTAAGTATAGAAAAGTTCTTTATTAAAAGATGAAGGAAAAATATGTTTTGCAATCATACTTGATAAAAATTTTTTTTCAAAAATCTCAAAAAGTATTTTTTATAGCAGTGAGTTCCACCTAATGAAATTGTCCAAATGGCATATTCTAGCTAAGGTTTCTGAGCAAATAAAACAGATGGCCAGGAACTTTGATTAGTCAAATCTACTTCCAACAGAGATAAAACATTCTGTGCTTTGATGTTTGGATCCAAAAAATATGTCTCTTGTTTGATTCTATTAACAATCTGATTTTATCACTAGCCAATTGATTCAAAGGGGTCAGTTTAGTTCAAGTGGTTAGAAGTGTCTTAGGCTCCTCAAAGGTTATTTATTTATCTGAAGAAGTACTCATTTATGAGAAAAGAATATAATAATCAGCTCATAGACATGCGAGTTTCACAAGAAAAATAACTGCAGGTATATATGCTCTATATTCTTTACATGTTCCATGAAGGTCCAGAGTAGATATGATAAATCATTGAGACTGGAACCAAGGTTTTGCATTTATTTTTCTCATATGAGGAAATATTTGATTTGATTTGGTTTAAATATTTTGTATTTTTAAGACACACTGAAAAGGCATAGTTGATTTTCCATAAGCCTGTTTGAACACGTAGCTTACTGATATTTTAGCCCACTATGCCAAAAAGCACATCACCGCGTTTAGGCCCATTGAAACAGTGCTGTTCAACATTTATTCTTAAATACATTTATCTAGGTATTTTTTTCAACCAGTATTATTTATTACAATATTCAGGCCGTCAATGGATTTTTTCATTTTCTTTTTGTTTATATTTTAATTTACAATCATCGAAACATCTTAAAGGGACATTATAGTCACGAGAACCACTACAGCTTAGTGCAGTGGTTCTGGTCTCAACTCCATCTTCCTACAGGCCTTTCAATGTAAATGCTGACTTTTCATTTACATTGCTGCCTAGTAACACCTGTAGTGGCAGTCACTCAAACAGCCTCTAAAGGTGCTTCCTACTCGAGTTCTGCACAGTGTGCAGCACTGGCATTCAGCTCTGCATAGAGACGCTAAATGTTCCCCATAGATATGCATTGATGCAATGCAACTCTATTAAGACATGCTGATTGGCGCAGCCAAACATTTTGCCGCTCATGCGCAATAGCCTCCCAATGCTTTCCTATGTGAAAGCACTGAACTGGCTAAAATCAACAAGACTGATGATCTCAGCCATGGAGGCGAAGCCGGGAACTAGAGCTCCTACTGGCACTTGAATTAAATGGTATGTCCTGTTGGTTAACCAAAAAAGTTTTTACCCAGTCTTAGATATAATGTGTTTCTTGCTTCATTTAACACTTTATTTACTTTAGCACCATATTTACTTTAAACAAAGGACATAATACTATAGAACACCTGATAACCAGTTGCTTGGCATCATTTTGAGGTTGGTCCTTAAAATTTGCATATACTGCCATTGTAAACTACATCTGCTATGTTTTTACAAACTTCACACCAGTACAGTACACAGAAATCAAAGTACAAGATCACATGAAGGTACCTTAATGTTACCGCATTCGTCCAGCAGAATGTTTTCCAGCTTTAGATCCCGATGAACAACTCCATTCTGGATTAAAAAAAATAAAATAAAAAACACTTTATATATGTATATATAATTTAAACAGTCAGAAGCATTTCTTATTCACTTTTTAAATATAATACAGTATACTCTTTGATTCCTCCATGACATTACTAACCTAACCTCTCGCAACAAGCTATCTATTAGTCACTTGCAATGCGGTTAAAAGAAAAATTACTGGAATTCGTCCTCCTACAAAGTATATGAAACAACGGGATTCTTTTGGTACCTAATTTAACTCCCCTTCTCAGTTTAGCGTGCACAAGTAATTTAATCTGATGCTGAAAACATTTTTTTAAGTACCAAGAGCTGTAAGTACAAGTCAAATTCCTTTTTGGTGCCTCGCTGGCTTGTAATAAACATTTCAGAGAGATATGCTTTGATTAAAAGATGTGTTATTGCATTGTGCTAAGCTTATCAAAGCCTCAGAATTTTTCTATATAGCATAGCAGGATCCTTGGCCAGAATGAAGCACACGGAATGTTTAGTCTGTGACCAAAACCATAGGAAGGAATCTTATATGAACAGATTAGTAGAGAAACACCAGTGTAAACTGTTTGCATGCCAGTAAAATAAATACAAGGAAAGGTATGCATGTTCCACTCGAAGCACATCCTAAGAAATCTAAATTTAGAAACAAATGTCAGCAACGGCCTATATTTGTGCTACTGCTTCATTTTATTATTGCCAAGGGAAAGTTTCAGTATTGTAATAAATCTGAGGCAAATTCTAAATTAGCACAAAACAATATATTGAACACTTCCAAAAAGGAATACAGCGTAAAGTCCCTATGGAAGTAATAACAAAAATAAATAAATCTATACAAATTTTATTTACTGAGTAATATATTTAGACAGGTCAGTAGAAAAAAAACGAAATATTAGTTTACAAGGTGGGTAATGTAGCCCTGTCCCTTTAAGACCAGTAATACAGTTACTACCTGTTTTATCGGTCTGTTCTTATTGTGTTGTCTTTCCCAATTGTACAGCACTGTGGAAAATGTTGGCGCTTTATAAATGCCAATAATGAATACATAAAAAATACTCTAACATTAAAGGGACTCTATAGTCACCAGAACTACTACAGCTTAATGTAGTTGTTCTGGTTAGTATTATAGCTCCCTTCAGGCATTTTCATGTAAACTCTGTATTTTCAGAGAAAAGGCAGTGCCCCTAGGGACACTTCCAAGTGGCCACTCCTAAAAATAGTTAGGCTGTACTACAAAGGAATGCCTCAGCTGTATGTACGCAAAACAAAAGGCAAAAAACCAACTCAGTATTGCATTAATGAAATCTACAGTGATGGTGACAACACAACAGGGAAATCTAAATTGTTGCCCAATATGACTCAAATTGAAGTCAGTGATTGTTAAACTGTAACCAGGAAGATGGTACTCAATAAAATTAGCTGGTAACAGTTATTTTCCTGTGATACTCTAGACTGGAACGAATAGTATTTAGAGCAAATACTAACAGCAATGTCGAAATAAGGAGGGATAAAGTGCCTCAGACTGGTGATACTGAGGGAATCAATTACTAATATAAGGGGGCCCTCAATCTATAACACCCCACCCCCCCCCCAATCTAATCACACCTCCACGTGAATTGAATCTGCATTGTGACAGGGGCATTGTTTGTGCTAGTTGCTGACATTTAAAACATTTTGTGGCCAGTGGCGGATCCAGAGCCTGATCTCGGGAGGGGCACTTGTACATTATTTAAAGAAATAATCCATGCACAATAACCACTACAGCTCTGTGTAGTGGTTATGGTGCCAGGAGTGCCGGGACCCCTCTCCCAGAGTAAGTAGTCAAACCGTTTAAGAACAGTTTGACAACTTACCTGGAGTTTGCTGGGATATGTGGTTGTAGTAGGGCATAGGAGCAGTGGTGTGTGTGAGTGTGTGAGGGACGCAATGTTAGTGAAAGGTTCAGTGGGTGTGTAGAGATGTAGTGTGTGAATGTGTAGGGTGTGTGGGGCAATGGGTGCATGGGGGGCTGTGTATGTGTGTGTGGGGCAATGTGTGTATGGGGGGCAGTGTGTGAATGTGTATGGTGTGTGTGGAGGCAGTGTGTGTATGGTGTGTGTGAATGTGTATGGTGTTTTTGGAGGCAGTGTGTGTATGGGGGGCTGTGTATGTGTGGCAATGTGTGTATGGGGGGTAGTGTATGTGTGTGTGGCAGTGTGTGTGTGGCTGTGTGTGTGTGGGCAATGTGTCTATGGGGATGTGTGTGGGGCAGTGTATGTGTGTGTGGGGAGCAGTGTATGTGTGTGTGTGTATGTGTGAGTGTGTGTATGTGTGTGTGGGGCAATGGGTGTATGGGGGCAATGTGTGTATGGGGGGCAGTGTTTGAATGTGTATGGTGTGTGGAGGCAGTGTGTGTAAGGGGGCTGTATGTGTGTGTGTGTGTGTGTATGGGGGGCAGTGTGTGTATGGGGGGCTGTGTATGTTTGTGTGGGGCAATGTGTGTATGGGGGAGTGTGTGGGGGGGCAGTGTATGTATGGGGGCAGTGTACGTGTGTGTGGGGGCAGTGAATGTGTGTGTATGGGGGGCTGTGTATGTGTGTGGGGGGGCAGTGTGTGTATAGTGGCAGTGTATGTATGTGTGGGCCAGTGTGTGTATGGGGTGTTGTGTAGGTGTGTGTGGCAATGTGTGTATGGGGGCATTGTATATGTGTGTGGGGCAATGTCGACATAAGGAGGGATAAAGTGCCTCAGACTGGTGATACTGAGGGAATCAATTACTAATATAAGGGGGCATTGTATATGTGTGTGGGGCAATGTGTGTATGGGGAGCAGTGTGTGTGTGTGTGGCATTGTGTGTATGGGGGGCAATGTGTGTAGGGGGGCAGTGTGTGAATGAGTGGTGAGGAGGGTAGGGGGCGTTTTTATAATTTTTACTTAAGGAGGGGGGACATTTCTCAATCCCTGGTGGTCCGTGGGGAATCCCTGGTGGTCGCAGTAGTGAGAGTGAACTCTAGCCCGTAGCTCCAGGGCTAGAGTTCACTCTCGCGAGATCGGGAGCATTGCCGTGGTAACAGCGGCAACGCTCCATGCTCGCGAGAGAAGGACCCTGAGGAGCTGCAGGCTGAGCTCCCGGGTCCTCTCTCCCGTCTGCCAGCACGGTGCCTGTGGATCAGGGAGGGAGATCTCTCATCTCCCCTCTGGTCTGTGAAGGCACATTGCAGGGCTGGCGCTTGGACAGTGCCAGCCCTGCATTATCCAGCAGGGGAGAGTCTGAGGGGGGCCCTGCCCCACCCCCCATCCCCCCCCAGATCAGCCAATGTTTGTGGCATATGTACACAGATGCAAACAAACACACACAGAGATATATGCACGCTGACACACACACACAGATACTCACGCTGACACACACACACACACAGATATAGATACAAACACAGATACACACCCACACTGACATACACAGCAAAATAAATAACGAAAACCCATATTGATAGCCTTCTTCTTGTGGGCCCTGCGACAGCTACACAGACTGCACCCTCAGTAGTAATTCTGGCCTGGGAATGCGGGACAGATGACAGCTATGTGCATAAATATTTGTGTTAAATATCTTGATACCATTCAACACGCTGCCCAGAACACACTGTGAAAAATCTCCCACATGCACGCACAGGTCTGGGAAAGGAAAGCCCTTGCTGTCACTGTGGCTATTCAAGGTTGGACTGATTTCTCCTTGACAATGGGTAAGTTTAATTGCCACATTAGCAATGCAACTAGAGTGGATGGACCATGGCTGCTGGGTGGTCTTGTTTCTGATAAAACCCCTCCAAAACAGCTTGATTGAAACTTGTGGGAGGGCAAACATATATCAAGAATGATTATAATGCTTAGATTACCCTTTAAATAAATTGGAACATTCAGTTTCCAAGTTTCTAAGTTTAAAAAGAAATAGTAAGCTATTAGTCGTTAAGCAAAGTAACAGAATGAACACTTATTAATTAAATAAATATCCTTTTAGTTAATTGTTAAATTTAAACCGTCAATAGCATCTACTGAATTTTTTCAATTTAAAAGATTTTTGAGCCCTTAATAAATATGTTCATTTAGGAAGACAATGTGCAATCAGTACAAATTCTTACATCCTGGCACAACAAGGAATCTTTTATATATAAACCGTTTGTGACTCTTAAATGTACTATTGTGCTGTTATGTAACAGATGCCCTTTAAGTATATATAATCAAACTACAGTTTATCCTAATTCTAAAGTGCTAAAGTGCTATAAAATACAATCTTTAGTTGCATTCTTAACTGGTCAGTACATTTTGAAAGGCTTCTTTTCTTATCAGAGCACATATTGTTTTTAGTTAATACACAGAGTTATTTCTTTCCTCACTGTGCTACTTGAAATGTTTGCACTGGCTGGTCAGATACTAAAAATATATTAAGGCAACTCATTATTAAGCGATCCCGTCTTTATGAATTATCGTTTGTTATGGGCGATATATATCACTTGTCCCCTTTAAAATGTCAAATATGCAACAATTTAATTGTTCCGTGGAGAGGTTAAGGAACCATTAAACTAATAATGAGGTATTCATGTCAACTCACGAAGTGGAGTAAATAGCTGCTGAAATTAAAAAAGTTTTCTCTTAAAGTCAGTTTGAAGAAGTGTGATATTCACTATCACTCATTGTGGTTTGAATTCTAAAGGTAACTGAGCTCAGTCAGAGATTGGTATAAGTGCTAAGAAAGTGAAACACTGTGACACATGTCACTGTTTTCAGTTGTAATCAATAAAAAAAAAGTACTGGCTCATTAGTTTGTATTGTAGTGCTTTGCTTGGGATAGCTAAGAGACGTTCTTGTTAAGGAGCTTGCAGCTCTCAAGAGGAAGTGGTGCAGACGACGAGTGGCATCCAGCAGAACCACAAATGAGAACTATTCTTAAATGGACACTCCTGGAACCATAACCACTGCAATGTCCTGTAGTGTTATGGTGCTTGAAGTGTTCCTTTGAAAACATATAACAGGAGAGGCATGACGAGCCCACAATGGGATGGAGAATCAGAGTAATTAAGGGCCCATGTTATGCCTAGTCTCCTAATATGGGCTGACAGTCTTCCAGTCTATTTTTATATATGAGCCATTAGGGCCCAAAAGATGCCTAGCCTACTGGAACCTATATTAAAGGATCACTATAGTGTCAGGAAAACACACTCGTTTTCCTGACACTATATAACCCTTAGGTCCCCCCACCCTCAGGGCCCCCCTCCCTTGGCGCTGAAGGGGTTAAAACCCCTTCAGTTACTTACTTTAATCCAGCGCCGGGCTCCCTCAGCGCTGGTGACCTCTCCTCAGTTCTAGAGTGGAGCAGAATGCGCATGGAGCAGAATGCGCATTTCTTAATGCTTTCCTATGGACGTTCTGCATGCTGAATGCAATTTTCGCAACAAGTGTCACAGAAGCGCCTCTAGCGGCTGTCTTTTCGCACCCAGTGTCGCAGAAGCGCCTCTAGCGGCTGTCAGGAAGACAGCCACTAGAGGTTGGATTAACCCTGCAACGTAAACATAGCAATTTTTCTGAAACTGCTATGTTTACATCTGAAGGTTTAAAACCTGGAGGACCTGGCACCCAGACCACTTAATTGAGCTGAAGTGGTCTGGGTGACTATAGTGGTTCTTTAATATGTCTTACAGAACTCAGGATATGCTGAGTCTCTGGGCCCTCTTTTAATATGGGTGACAAGACTCAGGAGATGCTCAATCTCTTGTGTCCTATTTTAATAATGTGACTTCTGCTAGGAGTGAGACTTGTACATCACAAGCTCCAAGCTAACCAATCACAGTGCTCCTCTGTGGAAAGGCCATTATAAATCAGAAGATGTTGTTATGGTAATATAGTCTTGAAAGAGATTGGTCATTTTATATTAACTTATCATTGGCTGGCTGATCATTACAGGAAACACTGATCAGTTCAATAAAGATTTACATTCAAAACCGCTTTTCAGATGTTCACGGGACTTCAGTTACATTTTTCTCACCTTGTGGCAGTAGTGTACAGCAGAAACAATCTGACGGAAGAAATGTCGCGTTTCTCTTTCACTTAGTCTTCGTCTCTCACTGATGTAATCGTACAGCTCCCCTTTACTTGCATATTCCATGATAATTACAATCTTATCCTTGTTTTCAAATACTGCAAAGGTTAAAGAAATCTCTTGTGAATGGTCAAAATCCAGAATACGGTACAACAAAAAAAGAATTGAACACTTTACAGTCACTCACTCGTTCCAAGCAAAATATATTTTTGTCACTTTTTTTAAACGAATATCTTAGCTTTTCTTCATAAGAGGTATCACTTGAGTGTAAAAAGGAATCCAACAGTTCCTGGCATTGCATTGGCAAAAGTATGCAACGAGATACCTCCTATCTGTCCTGGATCTGACAGGATAGTCATAATTGAGAACCCTGTCCCAAATGAAAGTGCCCCAACAACTTAATGTGATCGTACTTAAACCACACTAACCTGATGTAGGATAGACAGCCTTGGCTGGATTTCTGGCTCACTTTTTTCTGTCACCTCCTTTTCAAGAGCACTTTCAACCACCTACAACCATACCCATGACTCATATGTATATCCCATTGCTCCTCACATCTACCACCTTCAAGCATAGGTAAGTATTTATCCAGCCAACACCTAACTTTTCATTTGTTTTCAGGTACACTACATAAAAGCAACGGTGTGAGATAACGGTGTGGCATGGCTCATCATTTTGTTTAATGAGTCACTTACCAAGGGAAAATAATTAATAATTATTTAATTAACCATTCCTTTAAACACAATGCATTGGATGGTCATTTTATATCACTTTACTGCTGAAGACTCACATTGATTACTAATCTGAAATAATGGATGTTAAAATATGAATAGCTACTCTCTCTTGCATTATTTCATACGCTATTTTCTGCTTAGTCTTCACTACAAGCCTCATTAAAGCGGATCCATCAGTCACAGAGGTTTTTTACATACTGTGCAAAAATTTTCGAAGATGACAAGCCCTGTTTATATGCGGTCACTGGGGGAGAAGCAAACAACAGACATAAACTTACCTGAAGCTCCCCGTTACGGGTTCTGCTAACGTCCTTCTTTAGCTCCTGGCACAACTTCCACAATAGACATCTTTCACACATATGAACAACACTAAGGGCAATGGATGATCTCACGAGAACAAATGATCTGCCAGAGACCAACTCAAATGGTGCACGAAAAAATGCTTTTCCCCCACAGCCATCACTAGTGATGTCAGTCTCAGACTTTACCACAAGACAACGTATGTCCCCACTTTGTCTTAATATCTTTTTATTGAGGTGGACTTTCAATGCAATTACAGCACATGAGTATTTTATAATCATTTGATCTATGAAATACTTAAAAAGTGACCAGAAGTGGCAGCTCTACTTTAAATGTTCAGTAGAATTGGAGATTTTTGTAAAACCTCAGCATTTGTTCCCCAAATTTTTCAAGTCCACTCTTAACTCAACATAACTTGTTGTTTAGTGCATCAGTTTGTTGTTTAGTGCATTTAGTTCACTGGTTTTGAAGGGATTATCTTGTCTTTTTGATACAAGAGATAATTATGCTTCCGAGTGTAAACTATAAAGTGCTTGTATGATAATCTTTTAAAGGGGACGAAAGATTGGAGGGTGGTGCCCAAACATCAATCTGAATCAACCTATAAGAAACGTGTAGATCTTGTAATTTTATCAAATAAAAATAATGTGTGCAATTAACGCTCACTCAACGCTCACTCAACCCTTTATTACTCTACCCTTTGTAATAATAAAACATTTTTTCCATGGGAAAAACTGAAGATGTGTACTGGGCAAACATTAAAAGGCATCGCACAAATATCACAAGTACATGTTAATGTTTAACAAGTATTTTGACATTTGCAAGACGCTGTGTGAGAACCATTCAAAATATCACACTTAAACGGTATCATAAACCTTACAGACACCTGTACTGTTCCCAGTTTCACACAAACACTTACGGGATCAAGATCTTGTATAGCGTAAATAGGTAAAACAACAGTTCAAATATGTACTTGGACATAAATTCAATCCAATAATACACTTAAAGAGACACAACATATTCCACTGGGTTGGGTTTTTTTTGCCTTCTTTTGGAACACCACTATAGAAAGATGTGTTTTAAAGGTTGAACTCGACAGACATAAGTCTTTTTACAACCTAGATAACTATGTAGCTATCAGGGTTATTCACTAGGGTGACAATTTAAAGTGAATTCAAGGCGAATTTCAAAGTTAAGTCCAGACAATTTGAACTGAAAGTTTACTTGACTTAAGAGAATTTTTCCAGACTGGAAGCGGACAAGGAATGACAGATAGATAAAATGTATTAAAAAGATGCAAAATATACACATAAATGAATAAAAATATACTCAACTTTAAAGTTCGTGCAACTGCTATGTAAAGGCAAGCAGAAGCCTGCCAGACCAGGAAGTGGCTCCACCAATTAGGAGCTTCTTATTCTGATCTAAGGTGTATGATTTGAGAGGGAACCTATAGTTCCGAAAATAACGATTATTTTTCCAGAACTATAAGCTCCCTTCTGTCAATGTGATCTTTGTCCACCCACCACCTGATGTTTAAAAGTTAAGTTAAATAAAGATTACATACCTCATTACGGTATCAAGACACCTTAAACTGCAGCTGCTTGCACCATCTTCATTAGTAGTGACTCTTCTGCGATTCTGTCCAAGACAATGCTTTTCATAGAGAAGCACTGAAGACAAGATACGCATGCATGGCAAAATGCCATACTCCTTCAATCAAACTCTGCTATGAGCAACATTTGATTGAAGAGTCGATTGAAGAGCTGAGGAAGACAGTTACTAGATGTGTATTCAACCTTTCCATGTAAACACTGATGTTTCTACAGAATGGCAATGTTACATTGAAGAGTTAAAACAATAGGACCACTGCACTCAGACCACTTCATTGAGATGGAGCTTTAGTGGTCCTTTAACGCCTAAATCCAATCGAGGAGATACTTCAGGCATGTAGCTCAATGTAGAACGTTTACATTCTTAACGCTATAGTGTTCCTTTAATCGTAAGGAACTTTTAAAATTATTATTATTTTTAAATTGGTGTGAAATTATTATAAAATGTATTAAGGATAGGTTCGTTAAATAATCATATTTAATTCCATAAAAAAATTCATAAGAAATATAAACAATATCACAAAGACCAGTGAAATGAAGTTTTGCCATTTTAACCTACTAAGAAATCTACAAACCTGGACTTACTTAAGTGTCTCAGCTGGAGATGTGTAATATTTCAATACATTATTCCTCCCAGCACTTATATTATTTGTCTACCCTACATGCCAAAATCTGCTTTCTGCTCCCGCCCTTGAGCTCCCAGTCAAGTAGATCTGATAATAAAACCAAAGGAAGCCAAGGTTCTGATAAGATCGAATGTTCTATGCCTGAAGGCTCACCCTGTCCTTTTCTGTCAGTGAGTCCCATCTGCGTAATCCTCATTAAAACAAAGACTTCTCAAACTAGAAGAGCTGTCTATGGATGGATTACTCTATCCACAACGTTCTCCAAATATGAGCGCATGACTTCTCTTATTTTTTTTCAGGCCTTAGCAATAATTACTTTTTCAGGCTAACATAGTCTCCTGACTTTTTTTTTTCCTTATTGGGGTTAAGCCAACTAGAAGCTTGGTTTTCCGAAATAAGAAAGTGGTCATTAAATAATGTATTCCAGAAAATATGAAGTTACAATGTTATGTTTAGTAGATTATTACTTGGAACAAAAAAAATCTATCCAACAAAATATTAATAGTGGTATCCAGACAGGATGTATTATCTGTATCATACAAATTATAAAATTATGGTCGGAAGGAATTTGGTCCAGTATTGTTTGGTCACTTGACAGTTTGAAGTTCATGGTAAGATTTTCTACATATAAAAATCACCAACACAATAATTATCTTTTGTGAAGGATATGTATTACAGTAGAAAGGTTGCTGGTGTAATACAATACTACAGTTACTTTTAAAAAAAATGTATTACATAAAGCATATTGTTAGATTTGTAATGGGAGCCTGTATAGGAGAAAATCCACTTAGAAAACTATTCCTGAATTATTATCTGGTTTCACCAATATATCTGTGTTAATTGGGATGGGATAATTCTTGCTTTTCAATATCCCAAAACATATTTAATTTTTTTCAATATAATACTATACAGGAATTATAACAGCTTTAAATATATTATTTTAATAATCTCTCACCAGTTTCTCCAAGAAAACATCCCTAAATGAAAAGATTTTCTGATGGTCTGATAAAGAAATTCTAAGAAATACTTAGTTAACTAATTTTCAAATGTAATCAATGCTAATACTAAAACATTGAAATTTACACTTTCTGTACAGGGAAATAAAAGGGCATTTCTATGTGTGAATGCAGATGTACACTTACTCCAACATAAATCCACAACAAGAAATATGTACAATGTAATAGATATAGAAAGTGTAACCTACATTCCATGACAATATGTAATTATGAGCTTGAGTGTATCAGCTCTAGTGGCTATGGATCTAGGAGTGCCACTTTAAATGTTATAGTTTTGTTTACTTTTTTCTATATTTCGCTAGTTATGCATATTCTAAATGATATCATAATTGTGATATGAGTCTAAAAGCATAATAAATATTAAAGGGGCCCTCTAAGCACCATCACAACAAGCATAATTACAAAGGTGATGGTCATAGAACATCCTGTTCCTACTCTCTGAGAGTGGCTTAGAATTGTAGTGATATATAAAAATCTGAGCTTGCCTCGATCAAGCAGACTGGAATAAAGTTTTTTGTTTTCTGTGTTTTGTCCAAATTTTCCATGTGGCGACTCCCTCCCAGGAAAAAGAGCCTAGCCTTAGACCGTGCATTAAAAAAGAAAAGATAGTTGGATTGATGGATGGGTAGACAGACAAACCAGATAGACTGTTAGACAGAGAGAGTATAGACAAAACGGAAAAGACTAGCTGTTTAAAAAGATTACTGTGTCTAGAGCAGAAAACATATATTGGGGATAAGGAGAACTAAGGAGTAATCAAAATATCTAAAGAATAAGGGCAAAGTAGGGAGTAATCATTTCAACAAGAAGTGAGAACATTAACTCAATATTAAGGGATTTGTCACATTCTGGTCCCGAAGAAGTTAAACTGTGAAATGTGGCTCAAACAAACATTATGTTATGAAAACCCTAATTATTCACAGAGGTGAGAAGTAGACATCTGGTGGGGGAGGGCCCCCAAGCTGTCAAACTCAATGGATTTCTTTAAAAGGGCCTTTTAGCAAAACAGACTATACGTTTTATAGCAACATGTATAACTATTAATAGCATTTTCTTGTTAAACAAGCAATAAATCTGATAGTCCACTTGAAGTGAAGACAGAATTATACACCTCCTTTCTGAGACACAATTGGGATCAGCTTCGAAGTGGTAATTTCAGCTCAACACCAGCTATATAGCACCAGGAATTATTATTATTATTGCCACTCCAGACACCACAGCCACTTCATCTCATTGACAAAGCTATGGTACCTGGAATATGTTAGAACCATGCCATTGCTCAGTTCAACCTCAATGGCTTGACCTTGAATGAAGGTCACCAGCCACCGGCAACCCAGACCCTCACTGCTGCCTGGGTTCATCTGAATGCATCACCTTCAAGTAGCGATGTTTGGCAGTGATAGGTGGATAATTCTTTCAGTCTTTCACTGATGCCCATTGTGTAACTCAGCATTAGCTGTACCGCCAGCTGGAATCCTTATTGGAGAATTGTATTCAGTTTGAATAACTATGCTGCTATGTTTCAATATGATTCAATTTATAGCTGTATGTTAAATATAAAGCTTAGTGACTCATGCCACAAAGCAGTCTTCATTGTAGACAAAATGTATACTCACATTAGAAAATTTAGGTTAAAAAATATATATATATAATGTTGAACATAACCGTGAAAGAACTGTAAAATACTTTTAGAGAGGACTGATAGGGATGGATCCAATTTTATGAATCAGACAAGCAAGGAAAGTAATCTGTGAAATAAATTAAATCCATATGATATGGCTGTAACAATGGTAAGAATATATAGGCTATAAAATCCACTAACAGCAAAATGGGAACATAAGAGTTATGTAATTGCACAGAGCAACAGTTCTGAGGATGTAGAAAATACTTAGACAGTTTGCCTTTTTGCACATGTGTAATACAATCTCTAAAATATGCAAGGGATTTCCTCTATATAGCCTCTATACATCTGTCTAAATATGAATTTCTGTGTATATCCTTATGTTAAATGCTTAAAACGATGGTGGCTTAAGCAGTTACAGCCTACCTCAACCTTTTAACCTTAGAAATAAATGTGGGTCCCAAAGGGGAAGGGGAGCAGGATCTTTCCAGCAATTAGAAATTTAGCTGTCAGTGACGTATATAAAAATGGACGCCCTCAGGGTTATTCGCTAAACTGGGATTTGTGGACAATTGACATGCGAACTGCAAAAAATAGGCAAATGAGCTGAATATATACATGAGTTGAAGAAAAAACTTTTAGCTAAATATTTTCACTATGTCAAATCTCTATAGTTTCCATCGCCAATTTATCGGACTTTTGTCAGATTTTTTAAACTTCACTTTCCGTATCAATATGATCTAATCCGCAACGCAGTTATGCAAACTACCCAATAAATTTGCAGCCTTTGAGTCAGGAGTGTGTTACAGGGAATGTTTATTTCTAACAACTAAGTGGCCTCCAGTGATTTGTGACCAGTTACAGAGAGAAACTGCATAAATATGATGTAAACCATAGAATAGAAGTTGTGCAATGCTTTATTTTTCAGCAGTTCAACACTGCAACTGCACATGTATTTCAACAAGAGTGGTTTTGTGAAGAGCCGAGGTACTTGCCCTGATTTAACCTACCGTAGAAATAGCCAATTATTAACACTTATTTTATATCTAAAAAAATGAGACACATCTTGTAACACTAAGATATATATTGTCTGTAAAAATAGACATTTTAAAGTTCTTTTAGCTACAAGAAGGATAAAGGAGAAGTCATCTAATACTATTAAACTAACAAGAATGTATTCCTAAAAGACTACTTTAAAACTGCGTAATAGATGTTCTTTTGTGATATGGATAACCTGGCTTCTAATGACAAAACAAAACATATTTTAATATGAGACTTTTTTCATTTTTTTTATTTAAAAAATGAGTACACAATCATTTGATTCCAGTGATTAGAATGATGTTTTTTCAAAAACTGTATACTGTGGAAAAATTACAGTAGAATTTTAACTTTTTAACTCTGAAAAATTCTCCAGTTCGGCTGGTTTGTAAGCTCAGCAGTTTTTGACCAAATGGCAATGCTTTGAAATGCCCAAGAAACCCCATGAATGTTGACTTAGGCCTGTGATCTTGCAATCTTTAGCACTGCAGATTTTCTTTGTGAAGATTATATACATATTAGATAAAACGAAGTAAAAATGTGGTATAAAAAAAACTTTACCCCCAGGAAACGCACCACTGCGTCATAGTTGGTTTATTTACATTCCCGCATCATGGAAAATATGCAGCTAAAAGCTCTGCTATGTCTGATAAGAGTCTACAGAAAATGCCTTCTATACATGAAAATACAATACTTCATTCTAGAACTGGTTCTTTAGTTTATTGATGACCTCAGGGGATGTAGTTCAGTTTGTTGGTTTAAGGCGACATTTAACTTCTTGTAAGCTCTTTTAGGCAGAACTCTCTTCACATCTCATTTCTGTACATAATAACTGTTGTTTTTTTGCTAATTTATATCCACAGTGTGCTGAGGACTATGTTGGCACTATATACATTATAAAAATAGTAATAATATCAATAATAATAATAGAAGCTTTTTGCCCAAGATTGGCTTGAACCACCCTTATCCTTTCTCCCTCGATAATCTTCATTACATTGAGTATGTTGACATTCCATCAAGTGTCTTTTCATGGGATGGTATTTTTATTACTCCGATATCAACCGCAGACAGAACTGCCCTCCCCAGTAGTTACAAAGCAATGCTTTATTAAAAGTCAGCCAATCAAAAGAGCAAGATGGTATGTATCTAATTGTTAGTACACAATATTACAATCCCACTGCCTCTAGAATGTAATCTTGTTTCAGAAGGGCCACAATACCCTCTGTTGCTGTGCGTCCACCTCAACTTGTTGCAATTACATGTCTGTTAGTCAAACTATTGTACAGCGCTACGGAATTTGTTGGTGCTTTATAAATAATAATAATAAAGTCGTTTTTGTTTTTTTTAGAACCTAAATACTTCGAGGTGACCAAATCGAAAGTGTGTTTGCAGCTCTCAATTTAAAATGATTTTCAAATTAAAAAAAATAAAAAAAATTTAGCACAAGAATATGATGCTGCAAAAATGTTGCATTTTTCAGATAAAATGCATTAAAAGTTTCAGCAATGCATTATTAGAACATCCTTTTGACACAAGACAATGTATAAATAAAATCTAATATGAAAACTATTTTAGAACGTATTTCTAAACATACTATTGTGTACCAGTGAGACATTAACTATAATTTTTCCAGTGGATTTCCATTTGATAAAAATTAAGCTACCATCCCAATCATTTTGAAATTGTATGAGATCACTTAAAGAGAACATCTTTTTTGCATGATGTCACATCATTTTGGATGAGATTGTAAATGTTGAAACCCAAGTAGGAAGTGATTGCATGTTTGAATTGCACCTTTTAAATTGCATGAACTAAATGATGAAATATCGAGGACATGTGGCTTCTGTTCATGTATGTATATGTTTTTCCTTCAGTATTTTCATATGAAAAACTACGTTAGCATTCACACACACAAACACAAGTCAAGCCCTACAAAAATTAAAGGACCACTATAGTGCCAGGAAAACATACTCGTTTTCCTGGCACTATAGTGCCCTGAGGGTGCCCCCACCCTCAGGGACCCCCTCCCGCCCGGCTCTGGAAGGGGGTAAAAACTTACCTTTTTCCAGCGCTGGGCGGGGAGCTCTCCTCCTCCGATCCTCCTCCGTTCCGCCCCGGCGGCTGAATGCACACGCGCGGCAAGAGCTGCGCGCGCATTCAGCCAGTCACATAGGAAAGCATTCATAATGCTTTCCTATGGACTCTGGCGTGCTCTCACTGTGAAAATCACAGTGAGAAGCAAGCAAGCGCCTCTAGTGGCTGTCAATGAGACAGCCACTAGAGGATTAGGGGGAAGGCTTAACCCATTCATAAACATAACAGTTTCTCTAGAAAGGACCTGGCACCCAGACCACTTCATTAAGCTGAAGTGGTCTGGGTGCCTAGAGTGGTCCTTTAAGCATGCCACATTTTCCCATCCCATCTCAGACACTCGAAGCACCAAAACCACTACATCTCAAAGTAGAGGTTTTGGTATTTACAGGTTATTTTCTCCGACAATGGCATTCCTCAGAAATGGCAATGTTTACAGACCTAGATTATGCCTCTAGTGGCCGTCAGACATTCCAAATTAAATTTATCTTCATTGACCAGTACAAACACTGAACACAGATTCCCCATACCAAAAAACAAACAAGGAAAACAGCAGTGAACAAGTATTGAGAAGAGTATTATCTGAAAAACTGTTAAACATATTGTAAAATGTAAAAATAAAAATGTAACAAACGTAAAAGTATTATTTGGAAATGTCCTATTTAAATTAGAGTTTTGAAGCTCTAGGTTGGAATGGACTAATCCCCATGTTAATATGGTTTACTTTTTGAAGAAAGGGCAAGGTAAGTAGATATGTTCAGTGTATGGATAGTCAATGATACCCTATTTGGCCTGAGCAGGTCAATTGGTAGTCTCGTCCTTATTACCTCACTGCAGCCAGCAGAAAGATGACATAACTAAGTGGGACACTATTTATAAACTTTACTATGAGAATGCATAGTCCAGAGTTGTGCTCTTTAAAGGGTAAAGCCATTTGGCATGTCAGTATGTTGATGTGACAAAGGGACCAGTCACTCTTAGAGTGTCACGTGTTAAGGACTTATACAGCTGTGCCTAAAGACAGCTATGCTAAAAATCCCCTTGGTTGCTGTGACGTCAAAAATGTGTTTCATGCATATCGTAAGTCAATAGACAGCTGTCACTTATTCCAACTGCAGTAATATATAACAGTGTGTTTGAAAATACCTGTATTACTTTTTTAACAGGCTGTTAAGGTTACTTCCACACTTGGAAATGATCTCATCAGAATGTTATCACAAATCCAAACCATCATCAGTCATCATAAGCAGTTAGGTATTACTGTATTTATAATATACATAATATTATTTACTGCTGTCTCTGCCAAAATCATTGTAACACTGGCAAACAATACGTTCTTAACAGTAACTTATATTTTATTAATAAATTACTCAATATGTAATTGGTGGTATAGTATGTAGGACTTTGACACTAGGTGTGAGATCAATACATTTTGTTCGGTATAAAACTTTTTTAAAGAAAACACTATAATTAGTTAAAAATGTCTGAGGAACACAAAGGTGCAATGGAGTTTGTGGACGGCTGTTATGTATAAAGATAAACCCAGTGCCCATGGCCTGCCTATCACTGAGCCTTTTTTCTGCTACAAACACATGAAACTCATGAATTGACTATTCACTTGCTGCCTAATATATATCAGCCCTTCACAGGTGCCATTGTAACAATATAATCAATGTTATTTACTTCACCTGTCGGTGGTTTTAATGTTGTGGCTGATCGGTGTATGGTTATAAATCAGTTTTTTGCTAAATATATACTTTAACAGCCCATTTTATTTTTCCATGTCAAACCACCTGCCATATATATCGAGACAAAAAAAACCCATATAATTCCATTAATGTGGATATAAGCATGCATATATAAGTGCCCAAGATATGGACAAAATAATAGCATATGTAAAAAGCTTAACCCTTTTTTGCAAGGTTTGCAATCACCAGGAAAAAATAACAAAACACATAGTGTAGACCTCGAGAGTGATACAACAGCAGGATGTGTGCTAATTCAAGGCAGATCATTAAATACTACAGGAACACTGTGATGGGCTGCTGCCTAAAGCGAACAAAACATTCTATTCAGCAAGAACGATAAAGAAGGGGAATTCTGTACCTAAAATAAATAGGTAAATAGGTTGTTTTTTTATATTACGCAGAGGTATTTTTTGTTCATATATATATGGATTGAATGATTTTTTGCATGATTTTGGGAAAACCACTACATTTACATGTTAAGAGCTTGTAGATTAAAAGAGGTATCTGATCGCCATTTTTCTGTTTCGTTTTCTGGAAATCACTTTATTTATTTAATTTTTTGTTTTTTTTTAACCCAGATCACTACGTTACTATATCACTAGCAATGGGTATAAACAGATAATTAAGCACCAGGCATGGCTGGAAGATTGGAGGTGGATCCAAAAGCGCTGGATTTTTGGATATCAAGATTACACTTTGATAAAAATAAAAACGATTTTGCTGGTAGAAACGCGTTAGTGCCTGCGGACACTGTTACTAAACAGGTCTTTTTATCCCATATTCGCTTTTATCAAGTACACCTGTATTTTAGTGATCCCTAATGATGTTGGATTATTTCGGAAAGCTGCTGCTAATACATGGTATCTTTTAAAGGGGCAATACAAATGGAGGCGTCCTTGAAGTATTACGGAGGAGATCAATATTCCTGCCTTTAAGTCTGAGTCCACTGTGTAAGTGTAAAAGCTTACCTTTTCTGTATTTGTTGTACCCTGGCATACTAGACTATAAGTTGCTATTTTATGCTTTTTTTAGAACTTTTTAATGTTCCAGAGTGGGTAATATTAGTTTTTACCCTGTGAGTGTACACCTGCACCGTTTTTTATGTTTACTTGATTGTGTGTTGTGTTGAGTGACACAGCAGCACGTGTTGATACTACACTGTTTTTTGCACTCTCCTCTACACTTTTGTTTTTTATAAACAGATAATTCATTGTCACCAAGCCTATGGTGTCACATGCAACACCTGAACTTACAGCTATTAAACCACTTTAATAACTTATCTATATAATGCTGAGTTTGGAGATATCTATTATGTTATAACAGTACTCCAGATGTTGAGGATTACATCCCCCATAATGCTCTTGCATCCATAATGATGGCAAAGCATCAAGGGAGATATAGTCTACAGCATTTGGAGTGCGAAAAGTTGCCTACCCCTGGTATAGCGCTTCACAAAACATGTAGCAGGTACAAATGCTAGCTGCATTATCAACCTGCGTTTTCATGCTTTCCTTTTGTTTCAGTCTATTATCATGGGAGAAAGAGTTTGATATATGTTTTCATTTAATGGCCAACTACTTCATGAAATCGTGCGCTGTCCAACAGAAGAGTTACGTAGGTGTAAATAATTATTTGAGGAAATCAAAGGTCAGCGGAATTTAACAGCGGAGGCAAGTTCATTTTGTTCTCAACTCATTGTGAGCTGTTGGTAATGACAAGAAATCTGTTCTGGTGCTGTGTTTTGAAAAAAAAATACAGAGAAGAAAAGAAAATGAGATGTGCCACTTGACGTCACAGCTCAGCTAGACAGGAAATTAATTAGAAACACGGTCTAATTGAAAGGTAAAATGATGCCAGAATTATTCATCTTTATTCTAAGTTAAGAGCCTGCCTATCGTTTCATTAGTTGTTTTCGATCTCATTTCATTCCCTGCATAGGGTCACCTCATTCTTCTATACTCTGAGGGAATATACTATGACTCATAATTTGCAAAGCCAATCTAGTGCTTTTTATAACTTAAAAGCTATATAGTACTGAAAAAAAAGAGGGTATGACCTGAAAATCAAGACTTCTATTCACATTCTTTAAGGTTTTGTTTTTTTCACAAACTGCCTAGTTTATTAAAAAAAAGGTGAAACCGAAAGATTTAAAAGGTGACATCATCTGATCTTTGAGTTATGGTATAACATTTGCAAGCTATCAAATACTGTTATACTGGCTCATAATGCTGAACTGTCAGGTATAGTATTGCAATAGTCCAATGCATTCTCCCCAACTGTCCAAAGTCTGGTGGCACAGTCCTGATTTCTGATGTCTGTCCCTGCCATCACAAGGCTTGTTTTCTGGTGTCCTGATTAAGGAGAAAAAAAGTGCTAACAGATTATGGCACTTGCATATTGCTTAGCATGCTAACACTGCTCAAAATTGGGCGCGTCTGCTCAAGAAAGAGGCGACCATCCAGCTTGACAGCCTAGAGGACCAAGGGTGTCTGCTAAAGCGCTCTGCAGGCTCTTAGCACCTGTGAATGACTGAGTGCGTCTAATGATGCTCTTGCGCTGTACTGTCTGGGGAGAGTTCCGTGGTGACCCAGGATGGGGACGCCAGGGAACAAAATCAGTACGGCAGGACAGGATCCCGAAATCGGGACTGTCCCACTGAAAGTGGGATTGTTGGCAGGCCTGAGATTGTAATTAGAAAGGGTAAACTGCATTAGAATGATCTATAACAGATTAAATGGGACAGATCTGGGTATTTGTAGGGATGCACAGAAATGAAAATTCTGGGCTGAAACCGAAAATTCAGGATGCCCTTGGCCGAAACCGAAAACAACATTTTTCACCAAATGATTTTTAAAACCATTTGATATTCACCACAATTCAGTATTTAGTGACTAGCTCTGATACAAACTACAGCAATCACGAAGCCTCTTCCAATCACAAAGCAATCACAAAGCCTCTTCCTTACTGTACCATTGCACAATTTGCCTCCACACTATACACTAAGTACATTGCCATTATAACAGCTATGAGTTTGAAGCCGTTATATAAGCAGAAACCGAATAGATAATATGTAAAATCTCACAGCAGCGCTTACCAGTGCTACTTCATCTCCAGTAACGATGAATCCAATTCAAACAGGTTCCTGACAAATCTTCACTCCTCTCTGGCAGCGTCGCTTCCTTCACGACCCCACCACTGTTGCTGGCGGCCATCTTGGCCGGTCTCTTTTCATGAGCATGCTGCTTCGGTGGGGAGGAACGAGTCATAGATCCCACCAAGTACAGGAGCGGTGGAGACTTCCGCTTTACCTCTTGTGTCTCTCCTGGGCCGGTGTTAGACTCCCTGGAGATGCATCGTTTTTTGGCAAGTTCCCTGCGGAGCCATGTTTTCAGACGGGTCTACGTTACTTGCGTGTTCTTGGCCCAAACCAATGGGAATGCGTCATCCATAGGATATGTGAAAGAAGGAGGGCAGGCACACCGCTAGATAACCCAGAGTTACCATCATGGAGGGAGGGGGCAGCCTGCACCGTGCTATCAGCTCTGTGTCTGCTGCTTCATTCATTATCCAGGGCCATCTCACTGCCAAAATGTTCAGCAGATTTGACCCTTTTTCGGCCAAAATTGGGTAGGCCCATTTTCGGCCCAAAACTTCGGAAGCCAAAATTTCGGTGCATCCCTAGTATTCAGCAGTGGACTCACATTCTATTTTTATCACTCTTCAAATCCATAATAATTAGCTGAAAGGTTGAAATTAAATTTAACACCTTAAGGTAAGGCATCGCCTGGGGTCTCCAGATGACGATGAGAGAAGATTGTCTTTTTAATACTGTAAAAAGTATAGTTCATTTGCAGCTGAGGTTCATGAGCAAAAACTGATTTTGATTATAGAACTATGCATGCAAAAATATGTGTATATATATATATATATATATATATATATATATATATATACAATAAACCGAATGTAGACTGAAAATAAATTGTATAGCAGTTTTAAATGTAAGCACTATACACACTATATGCTATATTCAGAATTAAAGGCCCTCTGGTATCCCAGATTTGACATGTTGCTCTGAGGATGTTCGTGAAAGAAGCACTTTCCTTCAGTGATTACATTTATACTCTGAAATTCAGAATGAAGGATTCTGGCAAGGTCAGCTATAGCTGTTCACTACAATTCAAGATGTTTTAAGTCACATCAACAGTATTTTCCTCCCAGCTGTATGCTACAGAGAGCCAACTTCTGTCCTGCTGAGAGGATGGAATTTCTTTTGATGGAGAATTAGGGTCTACCTCATCCAGTTGCTCCTGGAAATAAACTCACTTTGATTGGGTTACCAAAAAAAAAAGTATCATTAAGCTAGTAAAAGCTTGCTCAAGCCACTTGGACCTACTTAGCCTTAAAAATCTGAGATCTTAACTTAGGTAAGTGGTGACACATTCTAAAGCTAATCACCTCTAGACCAGAAGGTCAAAGGGTTAATGAGAAATTATCTTCATTTTTTTTTTCCGGTAAGTTAACATTTTGCGGATGGATTTGTATCCAGTGCTGTAATACACCTTTGATTTATTTTATCACATTGCCTATACAGTGCTGCAGGGGTTCACATTGAACTCCGCAGCAAAATAATGCAGTTGGATGGGCTTTATGGGCCCTCTCGCAGAACTACTCAATGAATGAACTCAATAGTTGAGTGCCTTTGCGGTACCACATAGACCAGGGGTTCTCAACCCAGTCCTCAGGACCCCCTACCAGTCCAGGATTTGGGGATTACCTGGGTGTGTCTCAGGTGTTTAGAAAAAGGGAAAAAAACACCTTAGACTCTAAGGTGTTTTTTTTTCTTTTTCTAAACACCTTAGACACACCCAGGTAATCCCTAAACCCTGGACTGGTAGGGGGTCCTAAGGACTAACGTTGAGAACCCCTGACATAGACTTTAAGCTCATTTGAGCAGGGTCCTCTTCAACCTATCGTTCCTGTAAGTTTTCTTGTAATTGTCCTATTTATAGTTAAATCCCCCCTCTCATAATATTGTAAAGCGCTACGGAATCTGTTGGCGCTATATAAATGGCAATACTAATAATACACATGAAAATATAACTTAGTGAATCTGTTGCTTTGAAGCAAGTTTCTTCCATTTTTTTCTACCAGTTTGCTCTCTGGAAAGTAAAAGCAAATAGTTGAAAATTTATTTTGCGTGTCTGAAGCCTTCCTTTGTCAAAGAGGGATTAACAATCACAGATTACATATTCTTACTAAATACATTTAATAATTTGATTTTACATTTTTTTTCTGAACATATTTCTAGTCTATTTCAGCAGATTCTGGTTTTCCTCTAGAGTTAAGGGAAATTCCCAATAGGTGGGTTTCTTTATTGCTTTTTTTTTTGGTTTTCTTTGGCTCAGCTCATTTTGGCAACATGATCCTCTAACTAGGGTGTGCACTATAATCATCACTTTTCAGAGAGAGTTGTTTTATGCTGATTACTTTGTAACATTTCTTTTTATTTTAGTATTATATTTTTCGACTCAAATATTCTTCTTCTGTCTGATTTATGGAATTTATTCCCGTGTTTGATTTTGTTTCCAGGAAGAGGTACCCTTAGGGACCAAGCCGGCTGAGCATGATGAGATCTGAAGCAGCTGCAATACAAAAGGTTCCTAGCTCAGCTCTTTTGTCTTTTCGAAACTTGGCCTGCTCTGATCTAATCTCCAACACATCGAACTTCCAGCTCATTTTGGCAGCTGCTAAACACGATGGGTAGGGGATATCCTCATGTAAACTATATGGAACCCTCTGGATTTGTGTAATTCACCTAGTTTTTTTCACCTTCCCATCTGGTGCAGTCATTTCATTTTTTGGCCGTTTAACTGACCTGAAGGTTTAGGTTACTCTAGGACGTGTTGAGCCATTGTTATTGCCATTTTCCGTAATTGATGGCGCTGTGTAAGCTTACACACACAAAAACAAGTCATGCATATCAGCGACATATTGTTATATTAATCTGAAATACAACCGCATACAGGAGAACTGATGGTTTAAGCAACCTTTTCTGGTTACAATATGAATTTTCTATTTTCAGGTGATCAGATTAAACATTTTATCACATTGAGAGTGGTTTCTCCTGATAATATTTTTTAGCCATAACTGGGTGCTGTACATTATGATGAATCATGTAGACCTAAAGTCCACTTCTTTGAGAATAGTAGGCAGTAAAGAATACTCAGTTGCACACTTGTGCCTTTATACACACACACAGGGCATTATAGGAAATGGTATAAGTTAAAAAAAAAAATGCAATGTAATAAATAATCCATCTTTTGAAATAAAGACAAATAATACCTTGCGTTACGCCCATTTGTCTTGTTTGATTTTTAGACCCCTTTTTTCTCCCAGGCCTCATTCAGATTATTTTATACTTCACAAACACAAGCTGCACTGGGGGGTAGTTTTCAAATGGTTAAGGGGGGCAAACCAATTGACAACTACCTACCTTGCAGCTTGTGGTTGAGAAGTATACCACACCACAGTGTCTCATGTAAATGAAGGTAGGTATGGTATGTACAGTTAGAAAGAAACTAGCGGAAATTCTGTTTTCAGGTAGAAAGGGACAAAGAACAGAAAATTGTATATGGACAAAATGTTGAGGTCTTGGCAAAAGAGGCTGACAATGCAAAATGTGATAAAATAAGCTGGGGTAGAGCAAGGGAGAAAGGCTGGTGGTTATGTATAAACAAGGTGGGATAAAAGGAAATACAGTTAATGTGACTGTTATGGGTCTCATGCTGGTAAATGATCCTCCCTTCATCAAAGTATATAGTGAAAAATTAATTGCTGAAATTAACATATATGTGTAACCGAGGCACTATTCAAGGCGCAGTGCATTTGAGAATCATAAATCACGCATTAGAATGTCATTAGAGATATATTTATTTACTTTCAGAAATTGATACACCACTGTGACACCAGATAATTAATGTGAAAAGAGAATGATCTTTCAGGTTTGATTTTCCCCCCAAAAATCTTACATATTACGACGGCCTGCTGGATAGCCAACCAACAGATATTGCAAAATAGCTGAGAGGAGATCAGCGGATAATTAACCAATTACTGTATTTAAAGGGACACTATAGTCACCAGAACAACTACAGCTTAATGTAGTTGTTCTGGTGAGTATAATCATTCCCTGCAGGCATTTTCAAGCAAACACTGCCTTTTCAGTTTTTACATTGCCTCCTTGGGATACCTCCTGTGGCCATTCCTCAGATGGCCAATGGAGGTGCTTCCTGGAGCAGTGATCCACATTGTGCAGCACTCCCGTTCAGCGTCTCCTCGCTCTGCATGGAGATGCTGAATTTCCCTATGGGAAAATTGTAAATTCTGATGATGTCAGCAAGGAGGCGGATTGGGGCAGGGCCAGCACTGGGGCGGGGCTGGAAGTCAGGTATGTTTTAATTCCTTTTAAGGGGGCTACAGTGGGGCAAACCACCTAAATGGTGGTTTTAACACTATAGGGCCAAGAATACATGTTTGTGTACCTGACCCTATAGTGGTCCTTTAACCCCTTAAGGACACATGATGGAAATATTCCATCATGATTCCCTTTTATTCCAGAAGTTGTGTCCTTAAGGGGTTAAGAATTCCCAACATATAGCACAGATCAGGACAGGGGGAGCAACATGGGGAAGCTCTGCCCTCCTCTTCAAAGGACATGATGACAGTAGGTAGGGTCTTGGAAGGAGGGGGCAGAGGCAGGATGGGGGCAGAGTTAAAATGTATCAGATGGGGAGAGGCAGGGTTAGATACAGTAGAGGTAGGGTCAAGGTTTTGTAGGAGTTACATTTGTTAAAGAGATGCTGTGTTTAAAGCCTGTTACATAGCTGAGCTACCAGGAGAAGGGCAGGAGCAGTGAGGGGCTGACGCTGCCGGTAGCTCTGTTTTAGGGGGAGGCGGCACTCGCTCTGCATATTCTCATGGGGGTTCAGATGAGTATTACAGCCTGTGCGGGCGCCCACTCCAAGAGAGCGCCCTAGGCCACTGCCTAATTGGCCTTATGGAAGCGCTGGCCCTGATCAGGACACTACCTAAATTGCAATACACACAAAGTATACACACAAGCAAGCAAATAGTGATAGTATATAATGAGTGAATTTCCATGTGCTTTCTGTCTCTGGTGTGAAATAAAAGTTTGAAAGGTCTAAAACTGTCTGGATGCAAATAATAAGAATAAACAACTTTATATTTTCAGCTTAACAATGTGTAGTGTTGCATCCCACACAAACATAGAACGCTGGCCAAGAATCAGACATACAATAAAATAATGGACCACACATCGGGAGAGGAGAAAATTACCTTCGTAGATGCTTATAATATGTGGGTGGCTGAGTGACGACATAATCTCGATCTCTCGTCTGATGTGAACCATATCTTGCTCATCTCTTATTTTGTCCTTGCGAATTGACTTTATGGCAACCTGTAATATTTGAAAAAGTGAGAGTTAATTTGGGAACACAGTAGATGTCAGCCAATAATTAGAGATGCTCAGAAATCAACACAGATGTTGATCGTTGGCTAGAGTATACCTAAATGTAACAAGCTCTTCTGTGGATAACTGGATAAAACAGCAACTATAACTTGAGTTAATCTTTTTTTCTTTTAGAATGTTTATTAAGTATTTAACAAGTGACATCACAATCCATTTTAGAAGAGGCACAGCCAGGGCACACAATGCAAATGAGGAAAAAGGTTTTAGTTTCTCCTCTTCCACTAACTATGTCCAATGGATGAAAAGGGCATAATAATTAATAATGAGGATGGATAGGTGGCCAAGATAAGGAGATAGCCAAGGAGACACTTAGTTCCAAGATAAATGGTGGAATTCTACATTTCACCACTATTCCTATTTGGGAGGGATAGTCCCTATTTTGGGCCCAAATCCCTCTATCCCTCTTTTCATACCTAATGTCATTCTTTTCTAGGAGCTATATTGTTTGTGTGTTTGAGTGTATAACATGGCTCAGAAGCAATATGCACAGTGATGGGTCTTTAAAATACAATAAATGTGTTTAGAAATCAGTTTTTGTAAACATGATGCATTGTTCTCCTAAATTACGTAATAATTACAATAATCATTATTAAGTCATCTAAAATTTCTCTGAACAGCTCTGCCCTGGCCACACCCCTAGTCACGTCCTAAAGTGTCCCTCTTTGTCCCTCTTAGTCCATTTGAAATGTTGGGAGGTATGCAACATTTTATTTTTAGACCACACAAAAACATATAAGTAAACAAAACTGGGAGGTGAAAACCACTGGCTGGCAATTTAAACTATACTCTAAAGCACATTTATCTTAGAACAAATAAAATAATCAAATCTCACATATGAAAAAAGAATAACTAAGCTGGATAAGAAGTAAATAACAAAACATGCAATGTACTCAGCAAGCTTTATTTGGGGTGGTAAGAAAGTGTAAATACAAAGTGTACACCTAAGTATATTTTAGGCCACAGATTGGATACAGAGTTTAGTACTAGAACCGTTTTTATATAGTTTTTAAATTAATAACATGAGGTTTAAAACATTTTTCACTTGTGCGAGCAAATGTTTAACATTCTTCTCTAATATCATGGTCTAGCAGCTTTACTACAATGTAAATATAAAATGTCATAGGAATACAGCTTTAATATAAACATCTGGATGTACACGTAAAGAGGATATATAGCTTTGATTTAATAACTTGTGATGCTGAATGTTTACGATATAAAGAATATAGCTATTGGCAAGTCACATAGCTGTAAATAGCTCCTTGTGGATCTCCTAGATTAAAAGTGAATATAGCAGATCCCAAAGAAATTTTGGATCGAATGACAAATGTCTGCAGAAGGACAAAGAAATGTAAGCGCAAAGTAAAAAAAATCTATTTCACAGTGGTATAAACTCATAAGATTAAATATAGCCCATATGTGTATATGATATATTATGATATCTTTTCCCACTATTAAAATAAAATAATATAAGCCATGTAAGGCATTCCTTGCACGAGGGAATAAATATTGTAATTTTAACACAAAATCTAGCCAAATTAACATACGGTGATCTAAATTAGATAATTCTTCAACAAAACATAAAAGAAAATAACATATAATGCACTTGAAATTAACAAATCACTTTTTTTTTTAATTTAGGGATTTATAGATTTCAAAATTTCTGTTAAATACTATAGCAAATAATTGTTCTTCAGAAGTAAAAGAATATAATATTTCAAAAATGAATTAAAGCTTCAGTCACTTTTGAGCTCTTCATAACTATAGAATCTTGTTTATTCTGCCCATTGTCAGAGTTCTCTTATTCTCTGTTTTTCTTGCAATGCATTTACTTTGGCTCTCCCTAAATTAAAAGGGTAATCCAGACTTTGACCTTGTGCTCCATGTTCCTAAAGGGATATCAGCTACACTTCATTGGCGGGGCCCAAAGAATACAGAAACGATTGTACAGGGTTCCTGTATTTCTCATTCAGAGGGAATGTGCCAGCATTTTGGATTTGGACTGCCCTTTAGGGCGGGATCAGCCTGATATGCAAATTGTATAGGTTCACTCTGTAATGGCTTAAGTGAGCAAAAACATTTTTGAGACATGATCGGGGATTTACAGAAGGGCAAGCGACTGAAGTATCTCTGAGCTTTTGCCTGTTCTCACAGTTCTTACAGGCTCTGTTTTTGTTGCAATGAAATTAGTAAAATGAGGAAAATTTCTCAGAATAACCATGCCACACATCCACTCACACCACTAAAAGTAAAGTGTCCCTCTTTGTCTTTTTGAAATGTTGGGGGTTATGTTTATAAGTCACCACTGTTGTTACACTACATATTTCCATCTTTAAACGGACACTATAGTCACCAAAACAACTTTAACTTAATGAAACCATTTTGGTGTATAGACCATGCTGCTGCAGTCTCACTGTTCAGTTCTCTGTCATTTAAGAGTTAAATTACTTTGTTGATACAGCCCTAGTTACACCTCCCTGCAAGTAATGTCAACCGCCTTCCTTAACACTTCCTGTAAGGAGAGATCTAATGTTTACACTTCCATTATTGCAAATTATGTTTAATTTACAATGTTTTATCTTATGCACTGATAATAGCCTTCTGGATCCAGCAGGAGCCTTTGTTTATGTGATTAAAGTTCAATTTACTAAGCAGGAAATAAAAACGTCTTCAGTAAATTCACACCTGACATGTGATTAAAGTTCAATTCACAAATCAGGAAATAAAAACTTATAAAGCAAGTTAACATCTGCTTAGAAATGAAACCATTTTTTTTTACATGCAGGCTGTGTCAATTATAGCCAGAGAACATGTGGCTAGGGATGCATAAACAGAAATAAAAGTGACTTAAGAGGCATGATCTATACACCAAAACTGCTTCATTAAGCTAAAGTTGCTTTTGGTGACTATAGTGTCCCTTTAAATGATTACGCCATGTATGAACAGTTAGTCAAAGTAGAGTCAAATCACAGATAAGTATGTTTCAACCTTGATGGAAAGGTCATTCCCAATGACATGTAACAGGAGAGAGAGAATTCTGCTGAACATCCATGTAGGAACTCATATAGACGGTTTGATTGGCAAGTGAACAAAATAACCGGAGTAGCTTTAAAATATTTGGATCGGTTTGGTCTGCTCACTGCCTATTGAGGTAACGCCAGGATAAATCTAGAGTTCCCAATACTTTTTTTTTTTACTTTGTTTATTCCTGTCAATGCAAGAGTATTTTCCTAAACAAATGGTGCTATTCCAAATTAACAGCTGCATCAACATGTAGACCTGGGCAAGAGCGCACAAGTCATGCAAGGTTTACTGAGGCACAGTTTATTTATTTATTTTCATATTTTTCTTTACTGCTCTGGGCAAATGGAAGACATTTAAAGAGCCCAGTTTATTAAGTGGAATTTTAACAGTGCACACACACAATAATTTTCAGCCCTAATCTCCCACTAACTACTATGCTGGAAATAGTTGTGTGTCTTAAGATGTTGATTAATTGTTACCATAACCATCATTTAAAGCTTTGCTCGCAGGCAATAGACATTTTTATCTAATATAATATTGTGCTCCAAACTACTGGCGCCACAGAGCAAAAAAAGACAATTCCAATTTCAAAATATATATCACTCAATTTATTTACAGCCACAAATTAGGTAAATAATATGCCTTAAAATGCTTCTCTCCAAATCCTTTATGTCATCCCCTGCTGGCTTAAAAACGGCAATATATTTAGCTGTACTTAATCATGGTACAGCACAGTGGGGAGTTCTAACTAAAGAGCTGCTTGTGTTAATAGCACTGAATTCGACTCTAGCTGATACGGTACGTTATTTTGTTCTGAAACTCTGGATCCCAAGAATTTGGTTCCTGACCCGTGGACCAAGAATCAATGCTCTTGGCCTGAGAAATGTAATATACAAATATCTGTGCCAAAGTTAGGCATCACTGTTCTTAATTCTGCACTAGCTGTCCTTCTGTCCTTTCACAGAATAGTCATAGTATCATAGTTCGAAACAGATAGATTGATCCTAAAGGCTTTTAAAGGAACACTTCAAACACCATAATTACTGCTCCCCAGCACTATAGCCACTGCTCCTTGCTTCCGCTACTTCCCATGGAAATCCAGAAGCTCTCTACCTGAGCTAAGCTTGGCGGTGCAGGGCTTTGCTAATTGGCTGAGAGCAATAGGCTGACATACTTAGCCAGTGAACTAGCCCTGAATTACCCCTGCTTAGAAGGTTCAGGCTCTCTATAGGAAGCAATGGAGGCAGGGAGCTGCACCTAGTAAAATATCCCACGAGAGAAGTCAAACTGTTTTAGAATGTTATAACTCTTTACAATGGGGAGGAGCTAGGGCACTCCTGGCACTATAAAAATTACAGAGTGCCAAAGTGATTATGGTGTTTGGAGTGTTACTTTAATCTGATTAATGCCCCCACCTCACAGGACCTTCCATCAAACATTATACATACATTCTTTACATAATGCTTATGTTTATATTGCTTTAGCTCTTTCATGCTGCTAAGGGAAGCAATTCCAATCTTATCTGGGTATATTGCTATCAGGAATGGAATATCTGCGCCTTTACATCAACATCTGATAATGCATTGTGTACATTGTTAGTCTGACTTATTGACCCATGTTTTAAGAAAAAGAAAAAGGCAGACAAAGCTTGGAACTTTATTTGGAAGGCCATTCAAAAGAGGTGTAAACTAAAAACATACCAGAGCAAAAAAAGTAGCTATAAAAGCTATAAACATACTGTTCTTTTAAAAAAGTTTTAAAAGTCTCTTGATTATTCGCTAGAGTGAGAATTCAAAGTTAATTCAAAAAGAATTTACATTTTAAGGCTAGAGCAGACGAACTGAAAGCATATTTGACCCAGAGAATTCTTCCAGTTTGGCTATTTTGACTTTAAATTTGTAATTCACCTTGAATTCACATTTACTCCCTCTTTAGTGAGTAGCCCTATATGTATTTCTGGCAGAGTCACCATAAACTATTCTACTCCTTCAAAAAAAATGTTTACAGGACATAAATTAAAAAAAAAAAATTTTAATTCAAAATTTCACAGAAATTACATTTACAAAAATACATTTCTACAACAAATCATCCATGCACTTTTCCCATTACTTTTCAAAGAATCATATATTTGCTAATTATGTTCTTAATTTATTTATACACGATTCCCCTAATTGCAAAAGGAAATAGTTTTTTTAATTACATATTTTTTTTCTAATTCACCTCAATGGAGTCATACGCTTTCTAATTATTTTCTTTAGTCATATAATTTGACCCAAATGGCAAAGGCAAAGCGTTTTAAAATTATATATTTTAAAATAAAGCAAGTGTGTTTGCCTTGTGTGCGCTAACTTCAAAATATGTATTTAAAATGCTCGAGTGTTTTAATGAGCTGTACTGTGGCCACATTGGAAGACAGTGTAGTAGAGATTGAAATAAAAGACTCTCCAATTTAGCCCAAACATTTTGTGGCAGTACATCATAAAACATATTCCTTAAACACTGTCATACTTCTGACCACATCCCAAGCAGATTACCAGCTAAATTGAAGATGGGATTTCCTTTATTCATACACAGAACATGCAAACTCTGGCCAGATGTTCACTAAACACATTAAGTAAAAAGAATAAAATATAAAAATAAAAATAAAAGAATTAAAAAAAATGAGATTCCTTTTGTAAACCTTAAAGAATTTAAACATTTGACTGTAATTTTCTTACATGTGCCCCAGCTGCTAAAACATTAAACAGCTTTCTAAAAGTAAAAGTATTCCTTGATTAGTTATTTTTAGCATTTTTCAAGGTTTTGACTTTTTTTTTTTTTTACATCTTGACAGCTCATAAAGCATTCATTCGACAAAGATGAATCAGGTGTAAGAGTTTCAGAGTTTTACTTCAAGACTTCTGGTACATGACATAAAATAAAAGCTTCTCTCAAAGGTGAACTACATTACAACGAGTTACAGGTCTACATTATTACTTCAATGTATGTGTGAGTCTAATTAATGGCTTTAATGTATGAGTATATGACTCTATATTCTGGCTTCCATGCATGTGTATATGAGTCACCAGTCTGGCTTAAAAGTATGTGAGTCTACTTCTGGCTTTTATGTAGGCGAGTTTACATTCTGGCTACAAGGTATGTGAGTCTACTTTCTGGTTTCTATGCATTGTGTATGTGAGTCTAAATTCTGGCTTTGCTATATGCATAGATAAGTCTGTATTTTGGCTTCCACATATGTGTATATGAGTCTCCAGTCTGGCTTTCATGTATGTATATATGAGTCTCCAAACTGGCTTTAAAGTATGTATGTGAATCTACAACATTCTGGATACAATATATTTGAAGGTGAGTCTACATTTAGAACCAGGGGACTCCTGACACCATAGCAACTAAAGATTGATGTAGTAGTTATGGTGCCTATGCCGAAACTTTTGAGAGATTGATAAATACCTTTATTCAAAAATACCTCCTATGAAACTCACCAAGGTTAAAAATCTTCAATTATTAAAAAGAGGCCTGCATGTTAAATCTTTTGATCTAAAAAAAAAAAAAAAATGCTTAACTAGTAATTTTAATGACTATTGGATTTCCAATTGGCAGAATTCAGTCTTCCAGTGAGCGTTAAATGTTTCTCCCCTACTGAGAAAGAATATGCCAAAAATGTACGATTCCATCTTGTGTTTAAAGAGAGCAAAATAATCTGTTGACATTATTATACAGCATTTTCTCAAGCATTTTATTTGCAGCATGGACCATGTTAAAAAAAAAAGCAAAACACACAGGGCAGTCAGTGATGGCTATCCATATGATATGACTTAGAAAAACCTGGAAATATAGTTCACTGTTATATCCAGTGACTACCCCTTTTCTTCAAAAGTCATAGGAGGAAGCAATTATTTCCCTGACTGCATAAGTACTTTTATGGCACCTGGGTACCTGCCGATAGTAGACTGGATAGCAGTTAATTGCATTTCTACAACCACAGGGCCTCAGCACAATATAAAGAACTATTTCAAGCACAGCAAGGCACTATGCAGGATTCAGATATGTTAACCTTCTTTTTTACCTTCCAACTTAAATAAAACAATAGGATTTGATCATTTTTTATATACTACAAGCTAATTTGAGCAGAGCCCCTGTCACCTCTTGTTCCTGCTCACCTAAATTTGTCGTCACTTACTTCATGTTCCGTCAAAGCATAGTTTAACCCCTTAAGGACACATGACATGTGTGACATGTCATGATTCCCTTTTATTCCAGAAGTTTGGTCCTTAAGGGGTTAAACTGTGGAATATGTTATTACAATGAAAGACTGGGGTAATGGCTCTCAAAAACGACTACATCTGTCTGTTTCTTGACATGTGCACAGTCGCCTTGTCGGCCTCTGCTTAAAACCCCACCAAATACCCATTTCCAATAAAGCACTGACACCATGGTTTTGGCAAAATTATATCACAGCTTTATTTGATACTTAACATAAAATATAAAGGTCATTGTCAACAGCAGGCCATCGTTTGCCTGCACAATTAACATCCTGCAGTTTACAATTTAACCCCTTGACAATGACCCACTCCCACATAACATAATACCCAAACATTGCAGCATTTTACTTAACATTGAAACATGACCATTGCCATCAAAGGGCACCACAAGTGTAGGGGCATTCCGAAACACCCCTACACACCCCGGTTCGGAGCTACCTACGAGCTCGAACCTACCAAACCAGTCCAAAGTCCTAATAGCCCTGAACTCCAAACTTTTTCCCCATCTCACTCTTTTCTTCCCCCAACTTTACTCTCCATCCCCCGCCGCCGTGACCAAACGGGAAACACCTGAAAGCAAAGGGAGGGTGGGTGGGACAACAACAGGTAAGTGCAACTTAAATTAAAGTGATCCCTGGTTCTAAAATGGCCACTACTTATACTCCTCTTTATAACTCCACCCCACCATTTCCTTAGACCAGTCCCTGACCACTGACCTTTAGGTGGCCTGTCTCCTGGCAATGTCAAGGCCCACTCCCCTTAGCCCACTCCCACTCCATGGGCTACAATCTGTCACACTAATTTTTTGTTACTGTACCCTATCCTTAATGTCTCCAGCAAGGACGGTTAGCTTTCAAGAATTCATAATGTTGGAACCTTCTAAATGTAAAAAAGTACCGTTGACAGATATATCATTATAAACACATTCATAAGTGTTTTTGTAGCCAGTACAGAGCTGTCCTCTAACTAATAGAATGGAGTGAGAAGCATCTCAAAGGCACAAGCACAGTAGAAAGAGAGAATTTACACTATTTACTAAAAAGTAAAGTGAAATGAGAATTTTACATTTTGTTGCAAAAAATTTAAAACGAAGAACATCTCCAATTCAGCTATTTTCCATCATGGCTATTTCGGCCTAAAACTACCAGTTCCCTTGCCATTTCTCCACAATTCTTCATGAATAAACCCAATAATTTTTCCAGATAACACAAATATTTTAATGCTTGTTGTAATTACAGGACATTAAATGATTCCCTGTGGGATTTACTCGTCCAGTTCAGCAAAAACACCTCTAGTGGCTGTCAAAAAGACAGCCACTAAAGTGGATTTAAAGCTGTAAACATTGCAGTTACAAAAAATACTTACTGTTTTACAATATAATGTTAAAACAAAAGGACCGCTGTACCCAAACCACTTCATTGAGATGAAGCGGTCCTTTAAAGTATTACCAAGTGACATTACAAACGAATTCGGAGAAGGCAAAACGAAATCAAATATTACAAATGCAGAGGGGAAACACTGTATCATTTCTCCTCTTCTCTGCATATTTCCTCTATGTTGAATGACAGGTGCAAAGAGCAGATCTTATAAAGATCTTATAACAAAGACAGAGATCTAAGATGGAGTAGCCCAGTCACAGATTTAAAAGGTGTGGATTTCTACATTAAATTTTATTTTTCACACCTCTCAAATACATGTCTATTAAATATAGGGTTAAGTAAACATAATGTTAAAAATTCTGGGGTGTGAGGGTTTCCATTTAAGCATTATGTATTTAATGAATCAAAAGATGTCAAAGAAAATGAGTAAACATTCTACTGATTTACAGGTATGCAGATATACTAGAACACTTACATTTACATGCTAATGAATATTATAGAAGGAGGATACCTTTAAAGTGACTTGGTGTCACCTAATTTAATCTATACATTGTGTTAGCCAAACAACTAGAAACTGTGTAACTGAAGCTTGATTGGTCATTTAGATGATTTGTGGATGACAAGTTAAGTTTAAGGTCCACTATCTTAACATACATCATCTACGTAACTCTATCATAAGACGCACCAATTGCACAGCGCTACGGAACCTGCTGGCGCTATATAAATAATAAAATAATAATAAATAAATATACTTATTTGTTCTTTGTTTCTTGGTAATATATACTCATTTACATTTTAAGGACCGAGGAATGCAGCGTAATGATAACTGGAATACTCATCAGCTGTGTCCTTTCTTGCTGCGTTAGCTGGAAAAAACACTTACATTTATGGCTGAGCCATGGAACTCATAAAACTGGCTACTTCCCTGTAAAGTACGAGCCAACTAGATTGAATGACAAGGACGTTTGCCAGGCTAAGTCTGGAACGGTCCTCTTCCTGAGTTTCTATGCACATAACCACTAGGCAGAGTTCCATAAGAATGTTAGACTCTTTATATTGTCCTTTTTCCACTTATTCTGCCATAGCTACAGTGTTAACTTTATTTGGTGTTGATACACACTGACAAATTTCATAAACTGCCACTGAAGCGTTTAGTACCTTCGTAATGTAGTTATTAAATACATCATTGCATTGCAAGAGCATCTATTTAGTGATTTGAATACAGAAACACTATTGTAAAGCTTGCGTGTCCCATGCCACCTATCCTGTTGAGTGATCATGATATATATATATATTTTTTTTGTACAAATTAACACCTAAGGGAGACTTTAGTGAGGAGATACAATCATTATGACATCTGGATAAACTCTCTTGATCACAAGACACAGTCCTGGGTTATTAAAGGGAAACTGTTACTATAATAAGCTCTTGCTATATTGCTAAATTTACGATTGACTACAGTTAGAGGTGTTCAAAAAAAAATATATATATATATATTCCACGATCTTGCACTCACATTTGTAGTATTAGAGACACGGTGCTCTTTGAGCCAAATCAACATAAATCTCCACGAAAAAAGGCACACGTTGGGCTTCTTGAAGAAAATTACTCGTCTGTAATAATAACACACAGGTTACAGCAAATCGACGTTTCAGTCCATCATAGGACTTTCATCAGGATAATCCTGATGAAAGTCCTGATGAACTGAAACGTCGATTTGCTGTAACCGGTGTGTTATTAATAAAGACGAATAATTTATTTCAAGAAGCCCAGCGTGTGCCTTTCTTCGTGGAGAAATATATATATACACAGAAGAACAGAACTTGGCACTTTTTACTTGTATTTTTAAGGAAGAATAAACTGTACAGGGTAAAGGCTGCGTATGATAGTTTGCTTGTTTTTGATTGGCACAATACACCAAACCCCTTATGAGAAAACAGCTTTAAATTAAAAAGTAATTTATTTTGTGATCGTGTGCATATGTATGTGTGTTTGTGTTTTTGGGTGTTGTTCCATCTGTCCCTTGAGTATTATTTGTTAATATGTTTTGTTTTTCTATCCAATAAATGTTTGTAAATGCACAAATAATAGATATATGAAAGCTGTTTTTAAAGCATCCCTGTGCTAAAGAATGGGAATTCGGTCACATCTGGGATGGTAACTAGGATGATTGAGGTCATCAGGCACTGACAGGCGTGAGTGTTTCAGATTTGGATACTGTAGTTGTTTCTTTAGGGTGGACATTGAGGTGATGAGTTGAACAGTGTCAGAGGAGTTAAGTAAAGCTTAGCACTGATTATGGAGAGCTGCTGTATATGATATCAATTAGTGTTGACAAAATACATATTCCATTAGGTTTGCCAACTTTTCTGTAACAAAAGAAAGAGCCAAACTGTTACTACCATGTTATTAGTTGCAGCCCCTGATGAAAAACCTGGCATCCCACTATAAAAGATATATAAGCGTATATACACACACTATAGCAATCAGTAAGATTATATGCTCTCAACAACCTATTATTCCTGTAACATGTTGTAACTGTCTCGTTTATTGGTAAATTCCCCCCTTTAGAATATTGTAAAGTGCTACATAAATGCTGATAATAATATTAATAATAAATATTCTGTAATGGGAGATAGAACTTTCAGAAGGTATCTATTACCAGATAAAATGACCAGCACAATAATCTATTGATTTATTTATGCTAATTTATTTTTAACATGGCACCAATAAATATAGCCATCGATTGGGGGTATATTTTTAAGAAAATAATTGTGATGTTCCATGTTCTATTAAAGTGAAAAATTTAGTAAAAGGGGAACTGTAAAAACCATAACCACAACCTCATTGTATAGGATAAGATGCAAAGAGATTGCGGGGCATGCTCCTCACTCAGCTTGATTTAATTTTTTTTTAATTAGGTGACAAACATTGGGGCTTGCAGCTCCTACAGCTCAGTGCTCCAGCTGTTGTTTTTGGTATTTTCACCGTATTTTTTCCCCTAAAGAAGCAGGCAGGACGCTGAGCTACAGGTATTGGTAGATCCCCAATTTTTGGTTTGAGAGCTAGGCAGAGATCCATAAAAATGGCAGGAGAGCTGTATAGTGGTTATAGTGCCTAGCAGGCCCCCTTAAAAAATATAATGCCACAAAGTAACTGTGTTTTATTGATGATTAAGTTAATTTAATTTTAGTTCTGCATGGGTTACAGTGAGTTTGTGAGGATTGGTTTTACGTTTCTAAATATATAATAGATACCATGTTATTGTTTCTTAGTTATAAGTACTACATAAATTAATTAACAGTTGTTTTGAGCAACAATAAATGTAATAAGATATCCTGAATCTTTGGTTCAACTCCATATCTGCCTATGGTTAAAGGGTAAATAAAGGACTCCACATGTATCAAACATCTGGTTTTCTATGTGTATTTTTGGGAAGTGTCCAGTATATTGGATCAATATATGGAAAGACACACCTACCCATCTCTCTAGAGTACCGAGATTGTGTATCCCATGTACAGTTCAAATACTATGATGCTATGAGTGGATTATTCCTTAAAACAGATGTTGCATGACAGTCTTGTGTTAGATTTGCACCATCGTGACTGCATATTTTCATCGAGAAAAAAATTAGGAAACCAATTAAACACGGTCTCAATCAGTAGCATATTTAAGTTTTTATTAAGTTTACTTCACAAAACATACTTAGAAAAACTGGTTTGAAAAGTCGTCATAGCAATCCCCAGAAAAAAAAAACACCAGTGTTTTTTAATTTTATTATATTTTTTATCAAAGTATTAGACTACTTACATGTGCATTATATTTTAGAAGTGCTTTAAAGCAAAAGAAAGACTAAATATGTCTCTAATTGTTTCCTGTCGAGCACAAGGCCTTGTCACTTGGCAAGTGTTAGGAGTTAGATTAATCACTTCGTAACTGCTGAGAAGCAAACTACAAGATCTGTGTGGGATGAGATCTTATGTATCTGCACAGCAACACTTTATCCACTTTATACTATGCATTACGGAAATACTAAAAATGTTTCCAATATTATGAAATAGGGGATACTTTCTACTTTATTGAGCTGTATTATTAGCAATCTCACACAACTTGATGTTCTGAGTCATAAGCACAGAAAACATGGCATTCACTGTTTCCAAAGAAAATTTTGATAGATGTTATGTCAAAATGAATTCACCTAAACGGTTTTTACCAGAAGCAATGATTTTTGCTTGAGTGATGTTATTATACATGGCATATGATATTCAAAGCAGAGTTGGGTACCTCAAGGACATAGATTATGACTCTTTAGGGCACCTAAGGAGAGAAACTCTTCCAATGTTAGGTTAATATCAGGGAACAGATATATCAAGCATATTGAAGACATCACGGAACACTCTGAGTACCACAACGACTTCACAGTCGTTAAAGGGACACTCCGGGCACCAAAACAGCTTCTCTAAGTTGTAATTAACTTCTAAATTAAGTTGTTATGGTGCCAGGAGGCCCCTGGAGAAACTATGACCTCTATGGGTTAATCAGTTCTCAAACGGTTTAAACCCTAAGTTGCTCCCAGCGCCGGTCTCAGCTCCCCCCGGCTCTAGGACAATTAGTGGCAGCCCTTCCCGGTGACACTCCGCACTTCCTGTAAGTGAAAATTCTGAAGCCAGATACCACCAGGGAGGGTGCTAAGACCAGTGCTGGGGGCAACCTAGGGGTTAAACTGTTAGAGATCGGTTTAACCCCTTGAAGTAAGAGTGCATCCAGTGGCCTCCTGGCACCATAACAACTCAAGTTGTTTTGGTGCCTGGAGTGTCCATTTAAGTTATTATGGTGTCTGGAAGTCCTGTGCAAAAAACAGTTTTCACCATATGGTAAGATGGCACCCATGACCCTTTAGAAATCATAACAGCTTCATTGAATTTGAGTGATTATTGTGACCCCCGTATCCCTTTCATTGTTATTATTCTGTTTCACTTTGGTCCTCTCTGTTCTCTGTTTTTTGTTTTATCTTTTTTTTTTTATTTATGCAAAGTATAATTTTCTAAGATTTTAGGGAACACTTTTTTCTATCACCACAAGGAAGAAACCTTAGAATGATTACGTAGACATACAGCAAGCACCAACACTTGCCCACAGGAAGAGGAAAGATTTTGTTGCAGAAACAAAACGTGTCAACTCAACTTAAAGGGACACTATAGTCACCTGAACAACTTTAGCTTAATTAAGCAGTTTTGGTGTATAGAACATGCCCCTGCAGCCTCACTGCTCAATCCTCTGCCATTTATGAGTTAAATCCATATATGATAAATGTTGACTGATCTGAAATACAGTCTGGGGAAGACCCAATAGTTTTTTCTGGTCTGTAGATGATAGAGCAATGAGTAAGCATAGGCCAGCCCTTCCCTACTGTCCCTGTGTAATCATATCAGCAAAATTATGCTCCCACCCAAACCCATCTGATCTTTGCTGCAATATTTGCATTTTTGCAACAGTCAAAGGAAACAAATATAATGTGGTCCATAAAAAAGCAACAAAATAAATAGCCATATATCTACTAAACGATTTACAATGAAAAAATGAACATGTTTACATATTCTGTAAATATAATCTCTGCATATTTCAATGCACCGAGTTGCTCTCATTGGCTGATGTTCTCAGGCAATGAATGAGTGTCAGGATAGGCATCCAGCTTTTCAAGCTCTGCCGAAGTCAGATGTCATAAACCCGACTACAGTGAAGACCCAGCACCCAGTTAAGAGGAAAACCAGTTGTAAAATGGTTTGTCCCATTACCAAGGAATGGCACAAGGGTTCTTCTACCACCATTGCCGCCAGCAGGCTGCAGTGCATATTATGGTTGGAGCAGCCCTTTAAAGGGACACTATAGTCAGCAGAACAACTACAGCTTATTGTAAATTTTCTACTGAGTAGAATCATTCTCTTCAGGCTTTTCAGAGAAAATGCAGTGTTTACATTACACCCTAGGAATAACTCCACTGGCCACTCCTCAGATGGATACTAGAGTTGCATCCTGGGGCAGTGCCACCCACTGCATGCAGACACTGATCTTTCCTCATAGAGATGCATTGATTCCATGCATCTCTATGAGGAGTTTCTGATTGGCCAGGTCTGTGATTTACTTGTGCTGGATCTGCCCCTGATCTGTCTCATTGGCAGTCTCAGCCAATCCTATGGGAAAGCAGTGTGATTAGTTCAGAGAATCACTTCTGATGATGTCAGCAAATCAGGGAGATCATGGGCAGAGCCAGCAACAGCAGACTTGAATACAAGTAAGTTTTTACTATATTTAGGGGCGAAAGGAGAGTCCATGGGGGCTAGATGGTGGTTTTAACACTATAGGGTCAGGAATATATGTTTGTGTTCCTGATCATATTGTGTTCCTTTAACATCCGGGGGGGCAGAGTTTGGAATCATGGCTTAGATGTTTACATTTTACATTTGTGCTATTCTGATTAATTAAATTTTTTATATAATTTATACCAAAAATTTGGTAATCACCAATCGGGTAAAAGCATATTCACCTGCCATATTATATACATATCCAAAACCTTGTTGTATTTGCAAATGAGATTAATGGGTTATAAAGTCTGGTAACATTTGGAGGTCCATATTTGTCTATCACAACTCTTAGACCTTCAGTTAAAGGTATGACATGCAGTAACTCATTGCTTTTTGCTTACACAAAGGTCAAACAAATTAATTGGCATGTTCTAACCTGAACTATGTCACTGGCACAAAAAAAGACTGAGCACTAAAAATATTTGGATGCCTGGCTGGACTATTTAATAAACACTAACCAGAGTTATGTGTACATCTTAGAGCCCATTGTAAGAAGAATTTGATTGAAAACAAAAACACTTTTGTAACTCACATACTTTTACGTATTAAGAACAATGCATTGGTATTTAATTGCTTGGATAGAATTACACTGTAAATAAATTCCAATTTCTTTCTTACCTCACCTGATTATGAGTTCTTATTGATCCAGCTTTAATCTAGAGAGTAGGAGAGAATTAAATCTTTTCCTAAGCGAGACAGATGAGAGGTGGAATCTCCCAGCATAAAGGGAATCGTTACAATAAAGCGCTGGTAAATGATATGTAGAACATTTTCTATGGTTCTTTTCAGTATGTATTTGGAACTATGAGACACTGTAGAAAACCAGACTTTATAAATCTCTAATGTCCATATGTTGTCCAATTGAAAAGTTAATACATGGATGAAAAGCTAAGACAGAGAGCACATTATACATGGCCAAACTCCATGATCACTTTTTTTAGGGACACTGTAGGCACTTTAACAACTTCATCGTATTGAAGTTGTTATGGTGCCTGCATTCCTGCCATCCTGTCCTACATCCCAAAACCCAATAATAAACTAAATAGAAAGCTTGGAAGCATGACTGTCTATAAGAGCTGTGGATCTTGCTTCCATATTCTCATACTGTAACATACTGTAACGTCACGTGTGCATTATTGTCACAGTCAGCCATATGAGGAGCTTTGGACTGGCAGATCATCCTAGACACAGATCTCCAGGATTTCGAAACCCTGGAAAAAAAATCAGTAATTTGTTTTAATTTATTTTGTTGTTGTTTTTATTTTACACAGTGGAGGGGACCTAATTGATAAGGGGCATCAGGGCTGTAACATTAGAAATACAGATATGTATACAGTGTTCCTTTAAAGAAAGTGATGTAGAAGATGAGATCCCAGAGTTACCTAAAGGGACACTATAGTCACCAGAACCACTACAGCTTAAGGTAGTGGTTCTGGTGTCTATAGCCTGTCCCTGCAGGCTTTTCAATGTAAATGCTGCCTTTTCAGAGAAAAGGCAGTGTTTTCATTGTTGGCTAGTTACAAAGCGAGGTAAGTGGGTCAGATACCTAAACAGCCATACCAGAACTATAGTTTTAGGAATACATGTTTCTATTTGTACTTTGTACATTGTATTTGAATGTTTTGACCCAGCGAAGCTACATTCATGGTGGAGCAAGGAGGGCGATCTTAACAGGAGTTTGTAACTCCCCTTACTCTCCCATTGTAAACCCCCTACAAGCCATTTACTATGAAATTCGATCTAATTCTCCTTCCCTTTTCTGGGTTAAAAAAGTAACTGAAACTTCATATTAGAACAAAAGCGGAGAAGTGGCTTTGAGTGCAGAGGAATTATTTTTTCTAATCATTTGAAGACAGCATCATAAAAACCCATATACCCCTTACAATATTACTACTGCAGTCAGGGCCGTCTTTAACGCGGGGCAAACGGGGCAGCTGCCCCGGGCCCAGTTTCTCTTGGGGGGCCCGAGGCACCTGCCCCGTGGGCCCCGCTGACCCCGGCGGGCGGGTGGCCGGTCAGGCAGGAAGGCGGGCGCGCGAGGGAGCACTCACTGCTTCCTCTTCAGCTCCCTCGCGCACCGCACTGATGCCGGAGACGGAAGATGACGTCATCTTCCGGCGCCGGCATCCCTACGCGGCGCGCGAGGGAGCTGAAGAGGAAGCAGTGAGTGCTCCCTCGCGCGCCCGCCTTCCTGCCCGACCGGCCACCCGCCCAGGAGCCCAGCAGCACCACTGGACCCCAGGGAATCCCCCCAGCACTCCAAAAGGTAAGGAGGCTGGGGGGATTACATTTTAAAAAAAAAATGTGTGTTAGTGTGTGTTTGTGTATGTGTGTGTTAGTGTTTGTGTGTGTGTGTTTGTTTGTGTGTGTGTGTATGTGTGTGTTAGTGTATGTATGTGTGTTAGTGTATGTGTTTGTGTGTTAGTGTATGTGTGTGTTAGTGTATGTATGTGTGTGTTTATGTGTGTTAGTGTGTGTGTTTGTGTGTTAGTGTATGTGTGTTAGTGTGTGTGTTTGTGTATGTATGTGTGTTAGTGTGAGTGTGTGTGTGTGTTAGTGTATCTGTGTGTTAGTGTATGTGTGTGTTAGTGTATGTGTGTGTGTGTCAGCATGTCTGTGTGTGTGTGTCAGTATGTCTGTGTGTGTGTGTGTGTCAGTGTGTCTGTCTGTCTGTGTGTCAGTATATATGTGTGTGTATATCTGTGTGTGCCAGTATGTGTATGTGTCAGTATGTCTGTCAGTGCATCAGTATGTCTGTTAGTGCATGTGTATGCATGTGTCAGTATATCTGTCTGTGTGCCAGTATGTCTGTGTGTGTGTGTGTCAGTATATCAGTCTGTGTGTCAGTGTATGTGCCTGTGTGTGTGTGTCAGTATTTCTCAGTGTATGTGGGTGTCAGTATATCTGCCAGTGTGTGGGTGTCAGTATTTCTGTCAGTGTATGTGTGTCAGTATGTTGATCAGTGTATGTGTCTGTGTGTGTGTGTCAGTATGTCGGTATATGTGTCTGTGTGTCAGTATGTCCGTATATGTGCCTGTGTCAGTATGTCTGTCAGTACGTCTACCAGTGTATGTGTCTGTGTGTGTGTCAATATATGTACCTGTGTCAGTGTGTCTGTCAGTGTATGTGCCTGTTTATCTGTATGTAGTCAGTGTATGTATCTGTGTATCTGTTTGTGCGTCAGAGTGTGTACCTGTGCATCTGAGCCGCAACTTTAAATACAAATACACCCCTCCATTCAAACTTCAACACTACATATAAAATACACTCCTGCATTGAAACGTCAACACTACATACAAGCACACTCCTACATTCAAAAACAAACACTACACATAAATGCACACTTGCATTCAAACTCCAGTACCACATACAAACACATTTACACAAACATACTCCATACAAACACATGCTTACATTCAAACATACTAACATGGCTCAGTGCTAAATACAACCCTGCAAGTATGGGAAATTGGTAGAGTCCCAGCTGTCAAAGCATTGTTGGAGTTGCACGACAGATGGGGTTCTACCTTTAGTCCAACCTTGCAATTGGGGGTCCCAATAAAATTCATTCTACTTTAGTACCGCCACTGCGCTGGGATGGATGCCGTGATTGCATACCAGGGAGTGAGGGGCGAGAGCGGCAGGGCACAGGGGGCCCAAGCAAACACTTGCCCAGGGTCCATTCGTTATTAAAGACGGCCCTGACTGCAGTAAGCTGTAATGTTTATGGCACTTATAGTGCCGCTTTAAATATATTTCCAAAATCCATTAAATAGATCAGCCATCCATGTCGCACTGCCCCCAAACCCAGAGGTCATATCAACAAAGTATCTGGTAAAATCCAAAAGGAATTTATCTAGCTTTAGCAAATAAAGGAGAGTTCTGAACATTATGCCACTGATAAGGTGCACTGGCTTGAACTTTCAGTCTGACTGTAGCAAAACATTTTTCACAGACGAGTTAGTTCAATAATTAAGGCAGCCAGCTGAAAATCACCTCTTTACGGAAAAAAGGATTAGATGAGACAATAAGAATATCAAGAGTCGAGATCTGGGATGACTTCGGATTCACAGTGACAGATGGAATGAAATATCTTTTGATATGAGTGTGAATTATGTCACAGGCAATTTGTCTTTCATGTTCAATGCAAATGCTCAAATGCATTAGTTTGTTGAGACACTGCTGAAAAGAAACACCTAGCACATATGCAATTAACTTTAGAAGATTTAGTACGTAAGACCGAATATATAATAAAAAACACAACTCGTCAGCATCCTTAAAGGAACACTTCATAATCACTATACCCTGTTGTAGTGTTTATGGGGCCAGGAGTAAATAGCCGATTTGTTTAGTACATTTGACAACCTATCTGGGTACTCCTGGGTGCATGGAGGTGCAGAAGCTGCTTCTGGTCTTTCTCCTATAGAGCTAATCAGGACCATGCAGGACCAGATTCACTGACTGGGAGCGTCAGATGACATTCTCAGCCAATGAGTGCAGTGCTCGATCAGATATGGTTTATTCTATACAGGAATATACGGGAGAAGCCTGGAGTTGGAATAGGGTCCTAGGAGACTCAATTAAGATTGACTTAATAGTTTAGCTACTTACTCTGGGACAGTGGCAAGACACTGGCACCATAAAATAGTTCAGAAATACCTTCTTGCTAAGAAATTCCGCACCATCAGCAGTTATAGCTGTTATAGTAAAACAATAAAGAAACATCTACTAGATGATAAAATGTAATTTCTCCTCTGTACTGGAGGCCTTGGTACTAATTGCATGAATTACCTTTAATTCAAGGATGTACTCATATGCTTCTGAGCTGTTGCCATGGAGATGTGAACTATAGCTATGCACAATCAGACAATGCACATATATCAATCGAATCAATATAATTCAGTATTGCTTTTCATGTACTGTTGGACCACATATGTAGTCATAGAATAATTTTATAATGCTGATATATATTTTTTTAATGGGGTGCAGTTCAACACGGAAGCTTAGTGCCTCATAAAGAAACCCCTAAATGTGTTTACAGAACCACATTACACAAAGGACAAAAGGATAAAGGAAGCTATACTTCTTAAGGGATGATGGAAACGTGACCTGCAAACTAAATAATAGATATAGTGTTTATCTAATACTTTACTAATGGTCTGTATTAGTAAAGATATTTTGCAAATATTTCATATTAAACTGATGCAGTGTTGAAGCATATATATACAGTTAATAATTCATGAGTCTCATAGATGCAGCAAGCAATCTGTTTCACCAGTAACATCCGAATTGCAGGGTAGCGTTTGTATTTCTGTGCCATGACTGGGAACTCATGAATATTTTAGAGGCCCGTGTTACATTATTTAAAAATATCCCTCTCTGTTTTACAACAAACTAGATTGAGGGAAAAAAATATAATTTGTGAAATTTAAATGAAAGAAAACTACCTTATTATTTTGTGACTGTTGATTATGAAACTGGAAGCAGAAATGGTGAAATGAACTGGATACACAGAATTGCTTTGTAATGTGGTTTAGATAGCATCACTGCAACCAGGCTCCAGTTGTTTGATGGCTCTACACCACAACAACATGCTTCTTGGTAGATTAAAAAGTGGAAGCAAAGAGTTTGCTTCAAAAGATGGGTCACCGTGGAAATGAATCAATACAATGGAAGCTCAGTATTTAATATATTGATGGATGCTTGAAATGACATGTCACACAAGCATCATGGGTAATGTTACTTACAAACATTTGCTGCCCTCACCTCAGTAGAGTCAAGCAGCCATGTCAGGGAATTTGGGCCAAATAAATCTATAAGACAATCACCCACCCAACTCAGCTGTCTCCAGCTATAGAATCCCCCGTATCCCTGCTTATATTAAATTGGGGGCCAAACTACCCTGATATCTGCTCAACATAATAATAACAAAGCATTTAACCAGGAAAAGTACATTCAGATAATTCTGGTTCCCAAGTATGTCCTGGGGATGTTATGTGTGCCCATCATCCAAGGGACATTACTATTACCCAATTTAAAGGTACTAATTTATGTACCTTGGAAGGATGAAGGACTAAGCCAACCCAGTAAATTGAACCTGCAAACCCCAAGGGTTTAGACAGATTCTACTGATGATGCATTAGATATCTCACCAGCCTTAACATCAAAGCAAAATATAATCACTAATGTTTGTTAAGCTCTCTGGAGGCATCATACAATAACCTGAGACATCCCAGGAATGATGTACCGGAAAAGTCAGAGGCTCCTTATGCTGCATTAGAATGGTAAAATGAGATTGTTGTGATAGGTATCCACAGCAATTGTATGTCTTTGGAAGCCACTGATGGAATAATGCTGGTCTGCTTAACTCAATCAACCATAGCCTAGTCATATCACGGAGCACTTAAAGGGACATTCTACTGCTCAAATACAAAATAAATAATTATGACTATTTAGTAAATATACCCTAAATGAAAACTTTCATGAATTTAATTATGCATTTTGTCATTGGCAATAAATCTCAAAACAGCTTGCAGAACCTGCATTTCTCTTGTCTGCAGCCTTGGCAAATCCTCCCCTTCTAACTCCACCCAGACTTTCTGTGGCTGCCCAAGCACAGACTTCACAATGCAGCTCAACAAGAAGTCTCTGCAAGGCAGGTGCTGTGAGCAATTGCTGCTTCTTCAGTTTAGCTCTACTGGGCTAACCAAACCAGGAAGTAACATAACCTATTGCCTGCTTGAAAGTCAAGGGGGCGAAACCATTTTTGAAAAAAAAGAGGACATGTTCTTCACACATAAAGCTTTTCAGCAATCTTAAGTGCTTTGAGGGTCTGGAGTGTCCCTTTAAGTACTTTTGCTAAGTGACATTTGGGGTTCATCTGCCATCACTAAAGAATATAATGCTGCCAATGTATGCCATATGTTACTTATGACAGAGTTTTAATTAGAAAAAAGGGAGTACAGATATGCACACAGCAAGGAATATATAAATTTATATTTTCCCACTGAGATTTATAATGATTAATACAAAAATATCCTACAATTTTACACATAAAATCACATTATTTTCAGAGAATGTTTGCAACGAGGCATTAAACTCTGGGGGAGAACTATACACAAGATACGGCACAGTATACATAGTCTCTGTATAATAATTACATTCATCAAATGATTGTCAAAATTATCTAATGGATGTTTGAGGAACTGTCTTTTTAATCACTGTGGCCCAAAGCAAACTGTTGGGTTTGCTACTTTGCTATCTCTTAACAACATAGGGAGAGGAACTAGAATAGACAGAATGCTGGAAGCTAACGGCATATGGCCAACCAAATGCTCCAACATGGTTGGTGATGACAATAATAGCATAATTGGCAACCCACATGTGTGTTTCTGTCACTTCTGGCTGTAGTAACTTGTTGAAATTGTTACGCTTAAGATATTTACAGCCTGTAAAATAAATAACACATAAGTCACACAGGCATTTTCTTGCAATCTCACCAGGTCTGCTGGAAATCTTCATTTAACATTTCATCACACAAAATATTGTAAGTGTTACAAGCTTTTAAAAGAAATGAAGCATTGAATGATATTGCAAGACTTGTAACAGCACTACATACACACAGAAACACTGCGAGGTTACTAGGATTTACGTATTTATCTATAGCATTGTATAAACCATAACAAGTTCTTTTAAATTGCTATTAACAGACTTAGCTTGTGATCTCTTCAGTAAGAAATTACTCTACTGAACAATAGCTTGTAGATGGAATGTACAGTCACCAATAATTCCAGACTTCTCGTTCCATGTTAATGCTATTTAAAGCTCAAGAAGTAAAGTTTCAAATTACAAATGTTAATGGTAAATACATTATCACTAAAAATAAAGTAATTGTTCTTGGACCAGTAACTACAAATTTCTAGAGAGGGTCTCTCACGAGGGTAGGTGAAAAAAACATGCAGGAAGAATAGTTCAATGTTTGATTGTTTTGGTAATATCACGTCAACTAGCCGTGTCTCTCCATGTATCAGATAAATACAGTTCAGTTAATGAGCATAATGGAGCTGTAGATTATTTGCCCAACTTTTAGCATTATTATTATTATTGGTATTTCTATTGCGCCAACTTATTCCATAGCGCCTTACTTTATGAACAATACTTTTCCAGGTGATTCAGATGAATGAGGCCTGTTCTCCATGGTATGTTTAGAAACAGTTTTGTTATGGCAGGGATATTGGTTGTTGTGTATGGCATGGGTGCCAAAGATCACCAGAAATCTTTATTGCAGGGGTGGGCAACCTGCAGCACTCCAGATGTCGTGAACTACATCCCCCATAATGCTAAGAAAGAGTCAGAGGACCTGCAGTCCGCAAAATCTGGACTGCCGAATGTTGCATAATCCCTGGTTTAGAGCTTTGTAGTAATTTGAGAGAGAATGTAATCAATACTACACTTATAAAAGATATAAAACTGTTACGTTCAATTCCTCTTTTGTCTATCACTCCATAGAGAGTCACTGTAACAATTAATACCAGACTTGAGTCATTCCTCCTCTGGCTAGTTGCTGTCTATACTTCCGTTTCCCAATCAGTTAATGAGTCTGGTTATTACTTGAACCAATGCTAATCAATAGAGTTGAACGGTGAGTACTGTAATGGACAATAATTTCCAAAGGCATTCAGGCTGATGAGTGTGAGCATTTGTCTGTTCATAAGCACCAGATGGTGACTATTAGTGTTCACTTGGACAGTGTGCGTGCTTCCATATGGTGTGTTGGCTAGTCTGTCTGATCCTGTATAGCCACTGCCTATCTTAATTCTAGTCTGGCAACTTATCTTCATGTAAATCATATTAATGCAAAGTCTTCATGCATGCAGTCTCACTGTATGATAAATACATATTTACAAACAATCAGACTATATTATCTATAGTATAACAAAGCAATTGAAAAAATCAGGGTTTACATTCCATCTCGCAATGCCAACGCATCCCACTATATGATGCACAGGTTCTAGTTACATAGCCCATCTTTAATGTCTTCCATTTGCCAATAAACACACTCAAATTATTGGAACAACCTTCCTTCTTGACAATTAACTGGCGTTTTGAAAAAGTTATGAAAATATTCTGCTAAAGTCCTTGCTTTATGCAGCACTGATACATCCTAACATAGAGGGTTCCACCAGAAACCAGGACTACATGAACAGGATGTGTGCATAGCAGAATCACATTTTAAAATATTAATCAAATATAAACATACAGTTTGTTTTTTATATTTTTAGTAAATGAAAGCCTACACTGAACAGCCTCTAGTGGTGAGAGATGGAAAGGGAAATGTATATTACCCCCTTTTAAAGGGAGTAATATGTGATTTAATTGAAGAAATTTTAGTATCTGGAGTCCCCTGGCACTGAACTTCCATTCAGTGTTAAATTTTTCTTTTCGGTGACCGTCAGGTTTTGAAAGACCCCAGAAGGTAACTGCTCTGCTTGGTGTCTTACTTGCGCCTGTCCCTCACCAGCTACTGCTATGGTCTTCCTACTGATCCTCTTCAGCTCCTGGTGCTTCATACTCCAGGAGCCCTCATCATTGTTGTATTCTTGTGTATCCGCAAATGTAGAACACTGAGGTCTATGGAAGATCCCGCAAGGCCGCTGGAGCTTCCAAAGACAATGCTCTTTTCCCTACAGCAGTGACGGCTGGGATAAATGACAAAACTTGATGGCGGTAGCTCAACCGATTTCAAGTTTTTTCAAGCGTAGGGGATATACTAAGACAAAGTAGTCCCTAGTTTTGTATTAGTATATTATTTGATTGTGTTGGAATTTCACTCAAATTTCAGTCAATGTGAACATTTCATATAGATTTTATCTTTGTGAAATACTCATTTTTGTGGGGGTGGGGGTGGGGGTGACAGAGCCAGTTCAATGATTTAATGATAAAGAAGAGTCCCCACCAGCCCATTCCATCACTGCAGCTTGGGCTAATGATAAAGCATTAAATGTTGGTGATTGAACGAGAGTGTCAGCTGACTGCTTTCAGCCTATCACAGATAGCCCCTTGCTGTTAAAGGAACACGCCAGTGTTAGCAATACAGAGCTTTACTCCCAACACTAAAGTGTCCCTCTGCATCCCCCATCGCAGTCCCCCTCCCCCACTACAATTAAATGTTTAAACCATTACCCGATTCCAGCTACCAAGTCCCTCTGCGTTGTTTTTGTCTCCACCTACTCCGACGTAAGTTCCGGGGGGGAACTAATGCACATGCATGGCGAGAGCTATGCACGCCTTAGGCCTGCCCAATGGGAAAGCATAGAATCAAATGCTTTCCTATGTGGTTTTTCAAGATGCCGGACATCCTCATGCACAGCTTGAGGATGTCCAGAGTTCTTTCACGGAGTTAAACTCTGTATAAATATCTTAAGCGCCTCTAGTGGCTGTCTGGTAGACAGCCCCTAAAGGATGTCTTAAACCTGCAATATTTAGGATGTCTGAAACTGCAATGTTTTAGATTACAGTGTTAAGGGAACAGGGGCTGTGAACCCAGACCACTTCAATGAGATGAAGTGGTCTGGGTGTCTAAAGTGTCCCTTTAAAAATTGTTATGACTCATTTTTGCCATAACCATATTTCCACTGGGCAACCAGGGATACTGCTCAAAAGTGGATCCATGCAAAGGAATTCCAGGCACGATAAACAATTCAATGATATGAAATAGTTATACTGCCTATAGTTAGGGTTACCTGATTCACCTTGTTTTCAGGGACACATATCATATTGAGGGACACACATGAAAAGAGTTGCCCAGCAGTAAGTAGAATTCACAAGAAGATGTATATGAGTAAGTAATTAGGCAATGAAGAATCCTGTAGAACATGCATTATACATACTGCAAGGCAGCCCTTTTCATGCATTTTCGTAAAGATGACAAAATTATATGTGTCCCCGAAAACACGGAGGATATGGTACCCTACCTATATTGTCTACTTAACACTGGAGCACTGCATTATGCCAGCCAATCAGACTACTCTTCAGTTTGGAAGTTGGTGGGCTTTGTTTTTCACACTATTGTGGCTATCTACCAATAAACCTACAGAGAATGAGAAAAAATATATAAATGTAAATGTAAATTATATATGTAGCCATGTACAGCAATCAAAAACAGTTAAAGGGAAACTAAAGTCACCCAGACCACTCAATGACGTTGTCCTGGTGCAGGAGAACCTGTCCTGTTAACCCTGCAATGGAAAACATCAGAGTTTTTTTTTTTTTTTATAAACTGCTGGATTGGACCATCACAGAAGGGGAAACTCAGTAATGTTGCGGGTGGCAGAGAGGTCAGCAGCGCCAAGGGAACCTCAGCACACAGAAAATGGTGAGTAAAACTATTAATTTTTATTGCAAAAGGGGGAGCAGCCGATATTTAACAAGGGACAGGGCACTATAGTGTTAGGAATACAGGTTTGCATTCCTAACGTTATAGTGATCCTTTAATTGTTGTTAGTCCTAATTTAATGCACAGGAACACAAATGCTTCATTTGGTTTGCTGCAAAAAAAAAAAATCTCAGTGGTGACATTCTTTTCAACTTGACTCAAATAACATGTTATCATTAATCAAATGCCTGAAGGATACAGAATTACACTGACTTCCAATAACTATGGAAGCATGGGGTATTGTTGCTATGACAACATTAGATCCTATCAGACTCCGTCATTGCTTTCAAATGCCAAAAACAGAATTTACACAATGTGCAGCATCCAGCATCTGGTCTCATCTTAAAATTAGAATTTAGGATAAGGGTAGCAAACAATGAACCTAGTAGCAAAGATACAGATCTCTAAAAAGTAAAATAATAACAGGATTCTCAAAAAGGCAAAGGATATAGAGGCGTCAATTATTTGAGAGAATAACAGTACGGATGGAACTGGAAATTTTATACAAGCCTGCGTATATATTTATGCGTAGCGTTCACAAAGTTAGATTAGTTAAATTACTTAATCTAAAATAGATGTCATTTCAAAGGCATTTTATCTGTGGAAGAAGACACGCGTGGAATGAGTTTATTTGTGATGTAGTCAAACATATTTGAAAGATTATCTCGAGAAAGCCCACAGCAGGCCCATGTGTCAGAGTCATTTCTAATATGTCAATAAAAAATATCTGTCTGGGACAAGATGCATTCACCTGACACCCTCTGGAGTGTAACTGTTATGCATCTATGCTGGATCATAGCAGTACAAGCTATAAACTGCTACCCGCTGATCTGTCTGGAGCCTTGGGCATATTTGAATCCAAAGGTCAGAGAGGCTGTTGCAAGACCTCACATAGAGATTGGAAATAAAAGAATTATATGAGTTTTTCACTGCATGTTTATAACAGAAATTGATACATTTCTTCAGACTTTAACAAGCAGAAGAAAGAGTAATTCTACCATCAAAATGTATTTTTTAGAGATATTTAAGAAATATGGGGGGAATTTTTGACAATGCACAACTCTGGGGCAAAGTGTTAAACGTGGAGCAGTTACCATGGAAACCAGTAGAATGAATGTTAAACGTGGAGCAGTTACCATGGAAACCAGTAGAATGTATGTGAGCGTTAGAACGTTGCCCCAGGATGACACCTGTTTTACCAAAAAAAGAAACTAACCCCATAGAATTCTGTGTTAATTCCTTAAAGAGGTTGCAAGATAGCAATAATATTTTAATATTTTAGGATTCTAAAAGCTTCCTTTTAAATAGTCAAATTCCAGAGAGTATAACATACTCACCACTCTGCCAGAAAATCTCTCAATAGCCCTCTTCACTTTTCCATAGGTGCCTTTTCCCAGTGTCTCCTGCAGCTCATACCTGTGCTTCAGGTTGTGTTTGTGATGATGTCTCTTCACCCCATGCTGTTTGGTCAGAAGGTCTGGGGTGGCTGCTGCCTCGTCCGAGGTCGCCTGAGATGGTGAGAGTTGCATCTGCTCCACCATAATTTCTGTCTCCCCTTCTAACTGCACATCATCTAGTCTCCTGTCACCATCAGGACCTGTTTCCAGTTTGGTCATATCAGCAACGGCTACAGCAGCATCGCCACCACCTTCACCATCCATCATCTCACCGGCAAGGAGCGCCTCTGCCACTCATTCAGTACGTTGCGACCACTTCTCCTTTGCTGCCGCAGCTGCGCATTTGGCACGTGCAATCACCAAAAAAAAAAAAAAGTATTTATTTTTTTTTGTTACAAAAAAATAAATCAATAAATAACACCCAGTTTCAGCCGAACCTCCAGAGGTTATATGAGTATCTGATGGCAGCAGCAATGCAATGTGATAGCCAGAACAGAGGGCACCCTCCTGCCAAAGCCTTCTCCGTCATGTGCAATGGGAGCAGAGCTGGATCAGAGCGAGATCCTCCAAGGGAACCTCCTGCCTGGAACACACACTTCAGAGATCCACCAAAAATAAAATAAAAATGCTTAAAGCATGACCCCTGCTCTGCTTCTTCCCCTAGTATGACTGCATGTGCCTGGTCTCAGCAGGGGGGTCCATTCTCAGTTTATATTCGTCCTGCCTCTTGGTGCAATTGCTCATCCAGAGCCTGTGTCCTTTCCTTAGCAAAGGTAGACAACAATGTGCTGGGCTCTGCAGAAACTCTCTCCATTTAGCCTTTAAATCCGGCAGTGCCTGGGGTGTTGTATGGCTTCTGATACGGTGACCTGAGGTGCAGCAGGGTGTACAGTTACAGGATGGTGAATCACCTTCCCTGATGCCATGATCCTTCCATTTCCTTCCTTTCAGGGATTTCTTTAATTTTTTTTTCTTTCTTTCTTTCTTTCTTTGCCTGCAGCTCACGGGCAGCAGTTTACAAGCTTGTGTGAGAGGCCCTTTTCATCCCCTGTTCTTTCCTCTTGTCTGTGGAAAAGCCCAATGTGGGTGGAGCAGCCCCTCCTCCCCTTTCTCCCTTACATTCCAGACAGGGCTACAGCATGGAGCTGAGGTCAGCCAGCAGGGCACAAGCCAAGGATGTAGGTAGGCTACTGCAACAAGGGAAATGCCTGTCCAGCACTAGCATGCCTACATCCTGTACCACCTATCCTAGCTGAGGTCCCACTAGCAGCACCACCCTCCTATTGTGTGTATGTGTGTACAGCCTTATTAAACCACACTGTGCATTAAAACTACACTATCCACAGGAGACACAGACAAGGCATGGCAGAGTGCATTCAATAAAATAGTCATTTCAAATATGGAAAAATAATGACACTGAACAATACTAATTAAATACTAATCAGAATAGTGCAGTATCTGTTTGTTTTTTTGTTTTGTTTTTTTATATATACTGCATTGTGTGTTAACAACGTCCCCTTGCTGTGTGAGCATGCTGTGACATAGCACTGTTTATGGGAGTTCAATTTCAGGGCAGTGTGTGTTTAGAGACCCCTCACCAGGCTACTAATGTTATGAACCCAATAAATAGTGCCTGTAGGGTAGGGGTAGGCAAGAGGGGATGTAGTCCTTAACATGTTGGATGCTGATGGTTGTCCATCCCTGCTAGGGTGTAGAATGCACATTTGAGGTAATATAACCTCAAAAATTCTTAAGTTTTGCGTTCGATCTAGAGTGGAATGCAACATAAATCCCTAGTTACAGTCCACAGCCTGTGTAATTTACCCTAACTCCTAAGGGATAATAAACCCAACTCACTCCAGATGTTGTGGAATGCAGTAATTAGAACTCAGAGCAAAGTTCTGGCTGGCTGAGATGGATGGGATTTGCATTTCACAGTTTTGTCAGTGCAAACAAAATTTACCGTTAATATGATTTAACTCCCACTGCACTTGAGGGATTATTAACTAAATTCCGGATTGAGTAAATACAAATGTGTAAATGTAGACAACACTTAATCATTAAACATCAGGATTTGAATGAATTTCTACTGCATTGACAATTCGCAGTTTTGCTAGAGCCAAATGCGGTCAGGATTCATTTGTTTGACCAAATCTGTATCATTCGTTTGGAATATCAGTAATATCTGCATGCAAACCAATATAAAGCACAGGAATTGGACATTTATCAATGACCGCATGGCAACCGAAGATTACTTGAATGCATCCGGTAGGATGCACATTCGCAATCATTCACTGGCCCACCTCAGAGTGGTTTTAAATGGTAGCTTATTACCTTTTCTCCATCATTGCACCAGTCTCACCGTGGCAGGCCCTGCCTCCACGGCTGAGATTATTAGTCTTGATGATCTCAGCCAATCCAATGCTTTCCCATAGGAAAGCATTGGGAGGCTATTGTGCATGCGCTGCAAAATGCCACTCTGCACCAATCAGCATCTCTTCATAGAGATGTATTGAATCAATGCATCTTTATGATGAGCATTCAGCGTCTCCATGCAGAGGCAGGCAACTTGTAAGTGCTGCACACGGTTCAGCAATAAAATAGGAAGCACCTTTAGTGGCCGTCTGAGTGACTGCCACTAGAGGTGTTACTAGGCAGCAGAGCAAACACAGTGTTTACATTGAAAAACCTGCAGGGACATGCTATAGGCATCAGAATCACTACATTAAGCAGTAATGGTTCAGGTGACAATAGTGTCCCTTTAATTAATAGGGACTAGTAACCCTCGCTATTATTAGGGTTGGGGGAGGTATGGACTTTGATGTATTTTAGGGGGTATTTAAGGTATTGGGGAAAGGGGGGGCATGCGTGTCCAGACCTCCATTGTATAATTAAAGGGATACTGTAGTGCCAGGAATACAGAGCTGTATTCCTGGCACTACCGATCCCTCTGCATCCCCCCTCCCTTGCGCTCCCCTCTCCCCGGTAAATAAAGGGGCGCTGGGTCAAAGCTCCTCCCACTCCTCCCTGTGGCGGAACCAACCTCGCCACTGTGCACTGGAGGAGCCTGGTTGCCTGCCTGCTGCCTTTTGACTATGGGACTATGCACCGGCATTTAAATACTTTATTTTCCTATGCAGAAAGGTCTATTCACGTATTTCTGCCCTGGCGTTCGGTAGATTCTCGGATTTACTGAATGAACTCATTTAACCCAGATAGCTATGCCATGGAGCCTATTCATGTAATAAAAGACTTTGGCTCCATGGCAATTGAACTGTATGTGTGTGGTCTGAGCGCCATTCAGTAATAATGTGCGCTCAGACCTAAGCTATCTGTGGATATGTTGCATGTCTGTATTTTATGTAATAAATGTAACCTTGTGTATTTTATTGTATTTTACTGTCTTTTTACTGCCATGTGCTTAACTGAGTTTTGCCTCTGTCCTTGGAGATAATTGGATTACTTCTCAATTATCTCCAGGATAGAAGACTCTGTGGAACTGGTTTTGGGCAGAAAAGCCACGCTTCATTTGGTCACAAAGGACTTCGATCTATCTTTTGAACCAACGGACCAATTTGGATGATTTTGACATTTTGTGTTTGGAGTATGCTGATTCTGAAAATGTGAATGTGATGCATACTTTTAAAGTTATGAATAATGTGGAAAAACTGTATTTCTCTGCCTGTGATAATTACATTACCCATGGTGTAAGGTAATTGTATCACAGGCAGAGGGGAGGATTTTGTGTAGGAGTGTCTGAGTGTATTGTACGTGTTTATTGGTTGTTTTCCAAAACCCTGTGGGTAGTACTAAAGTGTAAGAATGTGTATATAAGGACAATAAACCCACAGCTCTGTCTGTTCCTGGTTGACCCTCTTGGGGGGATTTATTGTATGCTGTTCCAGTTTGACTGCTAGGAGTGTAAACCTATTCGTATGATTTTTATTTTTACCCTGTGGGTAGTACTAAAGTGTAAGAATGTGTATATAAGGACAATAAACCCACAGCTCTGTCTGTTCCTGGTTGACCCTCTTGGGGGGATTTATTGTATGCTGTTCCAGTTTGACTGCTAGAAGTGTAAACCTATTCGTATGATTTTTCCTATTCGGCTGTTTACAGCATTCGTATGTTTGAGAACATTCATATGCTTCTCCGGTTCGGTGTATTGGTGTCTACAGTAGCTGTGCCTGTGTCTCTGGAAGGGAAGATCTACTAAATGGCTTTTAACCCCTTGTTATGCCCGGGGGTGCCGTTACACTCCCCCTCTGTCCCGTGATGAGCAGGGACGCATGCGCGGCAATGAAAATTGATTCAATGCTTTCCTATGGAGAAAAATCTGATGCTGGAGGTCCTTATGCAGAGCGTGAGGACGCCCAGCTTCAGATAACGGAAGCACACCGAGTGGCTGTCTGGTAGCTGCTACCCGATTCCCATGATGGACACTACGTGCTCCCCCTTTATTATTATTATTAGGGCCCTAGCCGTCACCCATGGGTTGGAGCCTGGGTGGGTCACTTGGACTTCTCCATGAATATTAGCGAAGCCCCCACCCTATGGGTGGGACACGGGGGATTATATCTCCACCCCGTTATCTCACAGGTCCCATCGCCATGAGAGATGGGCGTTTCTAGTGACTGGGCAACAATAACTGTCCAGTCTGTAATTTTAAACGTTTAGGAGACACATCCGATGGGGGCATAAGGAGATACGATACCTCCATTATAGTAATATGGGGATCTTATTGACCCCCATAGGACTTGTATTTGTTTATTTATTTTTTTACTTTTTTAGTGTTGCAGCTGCCTAGCAAGTGATGCCCAGCCACCAGTTTTTAACTATTTGCTCACTGGCAAAGCTGGGCAAACACCTTGGATTTGTTAAAATCTAATTTAAATCAGATTGAAAGCCTCCAGGCCCTGATTTGAAGCCTGGGTCCCAGCCTTTGCAACACTGGGTCTGGATTTTAGCTGTCCAGTGGCGTTCTGTCCACCTGAAATCCAGATCCAATTTAGACCCATACAGTGCTTGATTTACAAAATTGAAAACATTGTTCAATTTCATCAACAAAGACTGGATTTTGCAGTCTGAATGGCCCCGTACAGCAGCTGATGGTTTTGTCCTATTCGATACAGGGCAATTTGGACTTGTGAATAACCCCATTGCAGTTTTGTACAAAATTTTTATCTTACCCATACAGGCAACAGGCCTATTTTAGCCTTAATTTTGGCATTTATATTTCAATTTACTGCTGTTCAGCTGTTAGTGAATAAATACATAGAATTTTAAGAAAATCTAAAGTAATTTCAATTATTAGGCCAAACTAGTCAAAACAAAAAACTTAGCTGTCTTGAATTCTTCTAGTTTGGATATCTAGGAATAAAACAATTAAATTCACTTTGAATGCATGACAAGTCACTTTATAACCCTTGCAACAAGAGCATATAACTGAATTGGAGTATTTTTCCAAATCAGCAATCTGGGTCTAAATTGTGCAATTTGGATTTTAGTTTGCTACAATTTAGGGTTTATTGCTTAAAGAGACACTGTAGTCACCAGAACAACTACAGCTTAATGTAGTTGTTGTGGTGAGTATAATCATTCCTTGCAGGCTCTTTGCTGTAAACATTTGCATTAAAGCCTAGGGACACCTCCAGTGGCCACTCCTCAGATGGCCACTGGTGGTGCTTCCTGTGTCTGACGTTCAGCGTCTCCATGCTCTGCACTTTCCCCATAGAGATGCATTGATTGGCCAGGCCGGCATTTGGCCCCACCTCCTTGACAATCTAAGCCAATCCAATGCTTTTCCTATGGGAAACCATTGGATTGCCTGAAGTCATCAATTCTTATTATGTCAGCCAAGGAGTCGGATCTGGGCGGAGCCAGTGCTGGCAGAGTGGAAGTAAGGTATGCTTTCTTACCTTTTAAGGGGGGTCAGAGGGGCCATGTCATTATAAGGTCAGGAATCCATGTTTGTATTCCTGAACCTACAGTGTTCCTTTAAGTCTCAAAGTCAGCAGAATGCTATAGTTATTTGCTTTTATTGGAAATAATGTTTAGCATCAGTGCCTGTGCCACATTGAAGTGCACGTGTGTATTTTTACTGTATTCCCCGAGTTTACATGTAAACAAGATGTACTTACTTTGTACTGTGAAAACTGCTGTGCCTCCTGGGGAAATGAATGAGATAAGCACACTACTGAGTCATGACAAGCCAAAAAACTAACTAAGCACCTTGCTAAAATTAGTTTAGCTTGGATTGTTAGTTTGTTTCCTCCCTTTAAGAACAATGTGTACCAGTCAGTTTCTCTTTGAAATAAAATTTAAAAAATAAGCGCATTAATGTATGCCTCTCAATTATATTTAAACTTTTGTAGAAAGACTGATCAAGCTTATACATTTCAGAGTTTAGCAATTAAAGGAACACTATTGTGTTGGGAATACAGGAAGCAGGCTATCCCTGCAATGAAAACATTACCATTACTTTAAACAGATAACTACAGTGAACTGAAATCCAAGGTGCAAAATTCAGGCTGAAATATCATAGCTTAGCTGCAGAATTTATTCTAAATCATATATTTTGGCTTACATTTTAAAAAAAAACTGAGTTTTTATTTCATGTCAATTCACTGTTTAGTGAATAGGTGAATACAATTCTAAACGGTGAATTATGTAGAAATGACAAAGTCAAAACACCTAAGTTGGAGAATTTGTTTCCATTCTGCACTTTCATTGTCAGTGCTCCACGTTTTCTATTTTAATATTACAGTATAATGTAATGGTTAAAGACTGCTTTGTGCTATGGTTTATTTATTGATCACCACATTGTAGTCAATTGAAATCTGAATTGTAGAATTTAAGCTAAAATAGCCACGTTGCCATCATAGCTGAGTTGGAGACTTCTTTGTGTCTATCTTTTGAACCTCTCTGTGTGTTTCTCCTAATCCTCCCTTTCAACCTTGTATGTCTCTTAACCCTTTTCATCCTCTGGTGTATCTCTTAAGTCCCATTACCTATTGTCTGTTTCTTAATCCTCTTACCATATTGTGTTCACTCACATACATACACAGTGACATTCATGCAAAACCATGCAATCATTCATGCAGTCATACAAACATACAAACATGGACCCATGCACAGTCAAATACCCAGACAAACAATCACACACCATCACAACATACATAATCACACAAATGTACACACAGTCACTTACACATGCATATACCTAGACACACAGTCGCATACAATCACATGCACACAGTCAAACCCATACATAGAGTCACACACATGCAGTCACATTCACACAGTCACATTCAGTCACAATCACATACAGGCACACAATCACATACATACAGATGCACAGTCACATATAGTCACAGTCAGTGGCGTACTGAGGGGGGGAGGAGTGAGGGCGGTCCACCCCGGATGCTACTCACTACGGGGGGTGCCCAGGACAGATTGCAATGCCCCTCCTGCACCCATCGCCGAGACCGGTCTGCAGCTCCGCAATGTGTACAGCTGCAGACCATGTGTCTCGCGAGCACTGCCCAATCAGAGCATTGCCGCGGGTTAACACGGCAACGCTCTGACTGGGTCTCGCAAGATCCATGGTCTGCAACTCTGCTGAGCTGCAGACTGGAAATGATGGCCACCAGACCACCAGGGAGCCAACCGGACAACCAGGCAGCCCCCACTGGGCCACCAGGGATTTAAGGTAATTTTTTAGTCCCACCTGCATCACCCCCCAACCCTCTCCTCTCCTCATCACATCACCCCCCTCCCTCTCCTCATCACCCCCCCCTCTCATCACTCCCTCCCTCTCACAATCATCCCCTCTCTCTCATCAGTCCCTCCCTCTCACAATCACCCCCTCCCTCTCCATCACCCCACCTCTCACAATCACCCCCTCCCTCTCATCACCCCACACAACCCCTCCCTCTCACAATCACCCCCCTCCTCATCACCCCGTCCCTCTAACAATCACCCCCTCTCATCATCACCCCCTTCCTCTCATCATCACCCCTCCCTCTCATCACCCCTTCCCTCTCACAATCACCCTCCTCTCATCATCACCCACCTCACTTTACTCATCACCCCCTCCCTCTCCGCATCACCCACCCTCCCTCTAACAATCACCCTCCCTCTCATCCTCACCCCCTTCCCTCTCACAATCTCCACCCCTCCCTCTCACAATCACCCACCTAACAATCACCCCCCTCCTCTCACAATCACCCCCCCATTGTGTATGTATATGTGCATACATCTCAGCATTCCGCCTACACTACACACACACAGTGGTGTATCCTGGTTTTGTGCTGCCCTAGGCGGACAAAACTCAGGCTCCCAACCGCATGCGCGTGACCCCACCCATCCCTCCCCGCCCCGCCTTCTAAATACACACACACACACTCACTGACAGAAACGTATACACTAGCTAACAGAAACACAAACTCACTGACACACACAGACACACACTCACTCAGTGGCAGACACACACTAGCAGACACACACACACTCACTGGCAAACACACACACAGTCAGACACACAAACACACACACTCACTAGCAGACACACACACTCACTGACACACACACTCACAGGCAAACACACTCACACTAAAAGTCAGACACACACACACTCACTAACAGACACACACACTAACAGACACACACACACTAACAGACACACACTAACAGACAAACACACACACACTCACAGACACACACACACACACACACACACTAACAGACACACACACACTCACTTACTTTAACACATGTATTTTTTTAACCCCCCTCCCCAGCCTCCTTACCTTTGGGAATGCTGGGGGGGTTCTCTATTTCCCTGGGGTCCAGTGGCTGCCGATCGGGCTGATGGCAGCTCCCAGCCTCACTCTGCGGCGCGCGAGGGAGCTGAGCAGACAGCTCAGAGGAAGAGCTCCTTCGCCAGCCGCCTGCCCGCCCGCCCGCCTAGCATGTCAGTTAGCCACAAGGCTAACAAGGTATTTGTCCTGAGCATTTGGGGGGCGGCTTTTTTTGCCGCCCCCTGGAAAATGCCGCCCAAGGCAAATGCCATGTTTGCCTCGCGGCTAATACGCCCCTGACTACACACAAATACAACCCTGCATCCAAATGTCAACACTACAAAAAAAACACCACCATATTCAAAAACCACACTACAGAAAAATGCACTCCTGCATTCAAATGCCAATACGTGCAAACACATTGGCACATTCACTCACACATACTCCATACAAAAACATGTTTACATTCAAACACACAAACAGTGCTTGGTGCTAAATACATAAAAAAATAAAATAAAAACACTGCTCAGTGCTTAAGACATGAAAAAAATTAACGAGTGATTTTTACATTTTTAAGAGGGGGGTGCAGGGTTTGGGGGGTGCCAAATATAGGAGCCGCCCCGGGTGCCAAATGCTCCAGGTATGCCCCTGGTCACAGTTTCACACAGGCATACAGTCAGACGCACAGTAACATACACAAAGTCACACAGACTCACAGTCTGTGGCAAAACTATGAGGAGCTGTAGGAGCATGTGCCCTACAATCGCCAGATGAAGAAGGGAGGTGCACCAGATGAATTGGTGGGAGGGGAGGGGAGAGGAGAGATACTGGGGTAATGAGAATCGCATGGGGAGAGTTAATGGCATAATGAGAATGATGAGGGGAAGAGGTAATGAGGTGATGAACACGGGATGGGAAGAAAATGGAGAAAAGAACATTTGAGAGGGAGAGAGAATGGGTTAATCAGCGTGGGCGTAATAACCCGGTACATGATTCTGGAAACTCACTGAGCAAATCACTTTAAAAAAATAACTTTATAAGCTGCGATGAGTGCTCACTGATTCCAGCATGCACAAACTACCTGTATTTGTTTGAAGAATTAAGGGGCACCCAACTGAGTCTTTGCCCCGGGTGAAAGAATGTCTGTTCGGTATTGTCTCGCTCATCATGACACAAGACTTGATTTAGGCTCCCGCATTCAGAGAGTGTGGACTGCACTCACCTTAATATGTATACATTATAGGGATGCTGCTGGAGCCAATTAATACAACATACAAGATCCAGCACACTTACTCACTAATCACCAACTTCAAAGCTCACAAAATGTAATCATTTTTTTAAAACACCAAATTAGGCAAAATAATGGGGACTTAGTTACAGGATATCATCATACATTGCATAAGTCTGTCACAACGCCAATGTGCCCCTTTTCTTGCAAGAAAGTTTTTTCGGTCCGTCTAGCACAAAAGGTAGACCACCATCTGTCGTACAACTCCAAATATGCTATACCATCTGAGGATCTACCATTTGCCCATCCTTGCAATGTTTTATTTGTGAGTAATGTTTGTGAATGTAAGCATGTTTTGTATAAAGTATATGGGAGCATGTAGGGGTGTATTTGTATGTATTGTTGCCATTAGAATGCAGTAGTGTACTTGTGTGTAGTGTTTGCATTTGATTGCCGAGGTGTGTTTCTATGTAATGTTGGTTTTTAAAAGTAGGTGTGCTTTTGTGTGCAGTGTTGGTGTTTTATTTAACCCCTTAAGGACACAGCTTCAGAAGCTTGTCTTACGCTTAATGACACAAGCAATTTTTGCATTTTCTTGCTGTATGCGTTCAACTGCAATTTGCATCTCTCTCGTTTATTGCACCGACACATATTATATACTGTTTTTTAAAGGACATAAAGGGCTTTAATTTGATGTAACATATATATATATAAATGCTTATTTATTATTTAAAAAATACAGAAAAATGCAAAAAAAAGAAAAAATGTGTGTTTTTTGTACAGTTTTTACAATAATAATGTGTGCCTAATTAGTGCAGGTTAAAGAAAGTAATTAAAAATAAATTTATTTAGTTGTTCTGATTTACAAAATATATAATGTGTCTGGGATTTAAAGTTTTTTTTGGTAGTTACAGGTCATAAAGCACAAGGAGTAAAATAAACTTTTAATGTAGAGCGATTTTAGAATTTTGTATGTTTGTCTTGTAAGCTTAATAGCCATAAAAGAAAACAAAATTGCCACACAAAAGTATATATTTATATAAAGTAGACATCACAGGCTATTGTCCTAAGGTTTTTTTGACACTTTCTAAGTAGCCATTTCACCGCCAATCTCTGCTAAATATTGGAGTAAAATTTAGTTTTTTGGAGTTTTTGGCACACAAACTTATAACAAAGAACTTCCCATGTATATTTTGTAAAGTTGGTGTGTGCTATTCCTGTACAAAGTTTTATTTTGTGTTCAGTTACTTCTGCTGAGTACAACGATACCCCCATTGTATGTCTTTGGCACTATTTCGTGAAGCTACAGTGCCATATAGGAGACCTGTCCGTTTCAACATTTACAGTAGAATTTTGAGAGGCGGATTTAATGGGCCTATGCTTCAATTTGGGGTATTATAGCAGTTTGACTGTTCAAAAAAAACCCACAAAGGCCTACCATTTATAAAAGTAGACACTCCAGGGTATCTCATATGGTGCATATTGTGCCTTAACATGCCCCCATTTTTTCACCAATATATGCCAAAGTATGTGGTAAAAAATAATTTTGGGCATTTTTTACATACGGATTACATTTTTGCTGGGTATTTTGTACATTTCATATGTGCCACTAAGTTCAAACCCCCCAAATTATGCTCAGCTAAGTCTTCTGAGTAAAACAATATGCCCAATGTATGACCTAGACACTATTTTGTGAAGTTACACTGCTATAAAAGAGACGTAACAAGTTAAGGTTTTTAAGTGTGAATTTTCATGGAGGGTTTTGATGCGTCCGTGCCCACTTTGGAGCACTTGAGCAGGCTACATATTACAACTACAACATAAAGGCATACCATTTCTTAAAGAACACATCCCAGGGTATTTCAAAAGGCATATTTTGAACCTTAGCGTGGGATAATTTTTCCGCTAGCTTGTACCAAGTGTAATGGTAATAAGCGTTTTTTTGCCTTTTTGACACACAAAGTAAATTTGCGCAGTACATTTTGTAAATCTTATGTGTGCTACGACTGTATAATACTTCATATGTTGCTCAGCTATGTCGGCTGAGTACATCAATACCCCCGTATGTACCTTTGCCAGGTATATGTGGACATCGGAGGGGCACATTTGGGACACAGCCATTCCAGTTCATTTCAAACTTTAAATTTTTACACTGTTCCCATGTCCCATTTTAGAGTATTTTACCAGGCTATATAATCCAAATACCCCATAAAGCCATACCATTTCTTAAAGAAGACATCCCGGGGTAATTCAAAAGGCATATTTTGAACCTTAGCGTGGGATAATTTTTCCGCTAGCTTGTACCAAGTGTAGTGGTAATAAGCATTTTTTCTGCCTTTTTGACACACAAAGTGAGTTTGCGCAGTATATTTTGCAAACCTTATGTGTACTACGACTGTATACTACTTCATATGTTGCTCAGCTATGTCGGCTGAGTACATCAATACCCCCGTATGTACCTTTGCCAGGTTTATGTGGACATTGAAGGGGCACATTTGAGACACAGCCATTCCATTTTTTTCAAACTTTGAATTTTTACGCTGTGTCCATGTCCCATTTTAGAGTATTTTAAAAGGCTATATAATCCAATTACACCATAAAGGCATACCATTTCTTAAAGAAGACATCCCGGGGTAATTCAAAAGGCCTATTTTGAACCTTAGCGTGGGATAATTTTTCCGCTAGCTTGTACCAAGTGTAGTGGTAATAAGCATTTTTTCTGCCTTTTTGACACACAAAGTGAGTTTGCGCAGTATATTTTGCAAACCTTATGTGTACTACGACTGTATACTACTTCATATGTTGTTCAGCTATGTCGCTGAGTACAGCAATACCCCCGTATGTACCTTTGCCAGGTATATGTGGACATTGAAGGGGCACATTTGAGACACAGCCATTCCAGTTTTTTCCAAACTTTGAATTTTTACGCTGTGTCCATGTCCCATTTTAGAGTATTTTACAAGGCTATATCATCCAATTACACCATAAAGGCATATCATTTCTTAAAGAAGACATCCCAGGGTAATTCAAAAGGCATATTTTGAACCTTAGCGTGGGATAATATTTCCGCTAGCTTGTACCAAGTGTAGTGGTAATGAGCATTTTTAAATGTATTTTTTTACTTTGTAAAACTTTTTTTACTTTGTAAAACCCATTTTTAAACTTTTTTTTTTACTTATTAAATGTTTTACACTATCTTAACTTTTTTTACACTTTTAATTTTTTTTCTAAACTTTTCTTTTACCGTTAACCCCTAACTAGCAGTAAGCAGCACTAACCGTAAATTCCCCATTTTCCCATAACCCCCACCCACCCCAGCTAGCAAAATATTTAATTATAAAATATTTAAATTAATTAAATGGAACCCCTGAGGGTTAAAAAAAATAAATAAAAGTTAATCCTCAGGGGTTAAAAAAATTAGATCACAGTATAATACTGTGATCTGTATTTTGATCACTGTAGGCAGTGATCAGCTGGCAGGGAAGGGGTTAATTTTTATTTAGACTGGGTAAAGGGGGTGGTATTTTTTTTTTTTTTACTTAAACGTTACTAAAACATTTAAAAAAATTTTTTTTTTACCTTTTTAAAGCTTATTTTAAAACTTTTTTTAACGTTAACCCCTAGTTAGCCTAACACCAAATTCCCCAATTCCCCACTAACTTCCACCCATCCCAGCTAGCTAAATATATAATTTTTTAATATTTAAATTAATTAATAAAATAAATTTAACCCCTGAGGGTTAAAAAAAAAAAAAACCCTCAGGGGTTAAAAAAAAAAATCAGATGACATTAAAATGTATACCCTGCCAATTGATCACTGTAGTCAGTGATCAATTGGCAGGGAAGGGGTTAATTTTATTAAAACAGGGGCAGGGGGGGTGGGATTTAACTTTAATTTTTTTTTTTTTTACACAGGGAAGCAGATCAGCACTGATCCGTCTCCCTGCACTTCACACAGAACCCGGAAGTGCAGGGAGGCAGAAGGTGAGTATGTGGAGCACATGTGCTCGCTCTGACATGCTGTCAGAGCGAGCACCGGTGCTGGGGCAGCCCGATCGGGTGCTCCCGGTCTGCCTCTAATGCAGAGGCAGACCGGAGCACCGTTAACCCCGCGATTGCCGCGATCGCGGCGATCTGGGGTTAACTTAAGAAAATGACGGAAATTTTCCGTCAACGGTCCTTAACTGAAGGACAAGGTTGACGGAAAATTTCCGTCCACGGTCGGGAAGGGGTTAAGGGGTGCTTGTATATAATTTAGTGTTTTAATACAGGGATGTTTTTGTACATAATGTTTGCCATTGATTGCATCTTCCTTGCTACATGCTTGGTCGGTCTGAGGTCTGAGACTGACGTTCAGGCACATGCTGAGCAGGGTAGCTTTGTGGCACCACTTGTCACCCACTGCAGAACCTGCCCCATGCATGAGAATGGATTGGCCGGGGTAATCAGCAGTGTCAACCCTCTAATGACTGCCTCGCCGATGCCACAGCCTCAATAACCTTATGGAGAAAGGTTAAATGGCCTTATTGTTGCAGGGATGGATGAGGGGTTGGGCCTTTTAAAGCGTCAGTATTCAAATTAAATGTCCTTCTAAATGTTCAAAATGTTGCTTTCCATTTTAATTATATTTTTCTACCTGTATATCTGATGCTTCATAGCCTGAATGCAATTATGCTTTGAATTTATTACAACAGTGCTATTTACTTAGTTGAGAATTCAAAGTGAATTTTGAAATTAAGGAATGGAAAGTATAGCTGACTTAGATAATTTTCCAGTTCGCTTAAATTTGAAATTCACTTTGAATTCGCATTGGGGTGAATAGACCTGTTAGTATTTAGTGGATGAACCCCACAGAATAATAAGGTACTTAAGGTCAAGTTGCTTCAATTCATGTGTAACTTGTATCATGTTTATCACAGTATGATAAAGGCTGGACATGCGATTCATCTGTGTTTATGTTTTGTACATCATGTCAAATAAACTGTCTAGATGTGCAGTTTATAATGCAAGGGTGTATTCATTAAACCTCAAATGTGCTTCAGAGGAGCAAAGAAGGGATGGTTCAAAAACTAAAGAATTATCACCAATAGTATTCCCAAAAGGCCCGCTAAGCCACAATCATTTGCCTCCTGCAGAGCTGCGTATGTCCCTATCCTGCTATAAATGAAAACTGTCATTGTTGATTGAAAACAGCCCATGTTTGCTCTGAGATGTTGCTGTGGGTTCCAAATAAATAGCTGTCTTGGAATATCATGAGCACTGGATCTTTTGTTTTATACGTTGCTTTGCTACTAAGAGTATTCTGATCTGCATTATGCGAAACCACGATTGACCTGGTACCATACCAGTTTGGCGAGAGCCACCTTAATTTGTTCTCATGTTACTATGACTATAAATAAAAAAATTACACATAAAATATCATTGTCCTGTATTATTTTGTAATAAAAACAATAAAAAAAAATATTTTTAGTAAATCCTTGGGGGTGACTATGTCACACCATCTTTGGTCAGAAGCACCGTTTTTGTGCAAAGGCCTCGCTAAATTTAAAGGTCTGAAATAATCTGAGAGAGCCTTATTGGGATGAACTGTGCTAGTGCATAAGGTCAGGATTCATGAATTTGCTCTTTACCCTGCAAACGTTTTTAGGTCAGACAAACAGTACTTCTGATCAAAGATAATTTAAACATTGCTGCCAGCACAGAGCAACGATAAGACAAGAGAAGAACTGAAAAGAGGTATTTGCATATTATATGATGCATAATTATTATTATTTTATTATTTATAAAGCGCCAGCAAATTCCATAGTGCTGTACAATGGGTATGGTGAACCTTGTATTATAGGAAATATTTAGCTTTTTGCAGATTATTACATATATCATGTATTCATCCTACTTCAAGTAAACTGTTGATTTTATTGAATATTCTGAATTATTGTCAACTTTATTACTTGGTCTATTTACAATATTTTATTTATAATTTTTTTTAGATAATCTAATTTTTTTGCAAAATTTAACAAAACGCAGCTCTGTATATTTCTTATATATTTCTTATGAAACACAAGAAAGCAGATTTAAAAACATATTTTTCACTTTAATTCGTCACTTTAGTGACAACATTGTTAACTGAGAAATGTCTAATAAGATTAATTAGCTTCTAAGTAGATCATATTAAGTAGTTCTCACTGTTTGTTAAAACAAATTGAAATGTCGTGAACCTCAAGTAATTTTTACAGCGAATTCAAATAACAGATATTACATGTTTATTATCTTTTCCACAAAACAGTCTTATCAATCGCTTCTGTTTTTTCCAAGTTTGTCTTCACTGGCCCTTTGCCATGATGACTTCAGCCACATTTTAGAGATCCTTTCGATGTCAGAGAAGCAAACAGGAGAGGTGAATGGGGTGAAATGCCTTTCGTGTTTCAGAACGCAATGGGATAAATTTAACATTGAGGCACTAGTTAGATGGCTGCACCCACTCATAGGTAATATATAGCAGCTAAGTAGGGAGATATGCATGGTCTGGTTTGGCTAAATGATGCAGGAAGTGGCTTATACTGAAGTACTATTGATTCTACATGACGGTTTCAATTTTATTCATTTAGAACATAGAATACAAAACTGAATAAAAATATTTCATTAGCACTAATGAAATCCCATTTCCTACATTTTCTATTTGGGATTTCTATGACCGAAGACATCTCAGCGATATGGTAGAAAATGTGCCACAATAATGTGTAACGTGCAATATTAGCACAAAAGCATATTATAATTCACTAAATATAATGCATAACACAATTTTGATGACAGAGTATATTTAAAAAAAATCTATATATACAACTGCTGATAAAATAAATTGAAAATATTATTATTATTGCTATTTGTTGTAGTTTGCTTTTTGAGGTGTAATTCTTATTCCTAAAAAAGAGTCCCAACCCCCTTGTCAAATGTTATGTTGAGGGAACAGCTGTACTTTAGCTGTTTCATCTACCAGGACAAGAATTTCCTGGCTTTTTGTGTTAGACTTTTCTTATGCTTGGATCTGAGGTCAAAGTTACGTTGTTGCACAGTTGCACAGTTTACGCCATCGTTTAGCCTTGAACAGTTTACCCCATCGTTGCAACCAGCGCCGGTCTCAGCTTTCCTCCTCCCCGCAGCATCCGGCTTTTCGCATTTTCACTTACAGGGAGTGCGGAGTACCGCCAGGCAGGGGCACCATTGATTGGCTGAAAGCAGTTAGCTGACACTGTCAGACAATCAGTGACTCCCCTTTTACTAATCTGGCTTGGAAAAGGTATATTTCTTTCCAAGCTAGTTCAGTGAATGTGGAGTCACTGAATGGCTGAGGAAGTCAACTGACCGCTCTCTGCCAAATAGCAGTGCTCCTTCCCAGTGGCACTCCTCACTTCCTGTAAGTGATCATTCTGAAGCCAGATGCCGCCAGGGAAGAGCTTAGCCCAGTGCTGGAGGCAACTTTGGTGTAAAACTGTTCAAGAATTGTTAAACCCTTGAGGTAAAAGTGCTTCCAGGGGCCTCCTGGCACTATAACAACTTTATTTAAATGAAATTGTTTTGGTGCCTGGAGTGTCCCTTTAAATGTTCTCTGTCCAGCAATATTGAACATGACCTGTAGCAAAGTCAGGGAACCATGCCCTCAGTTGTTGTACGTCGACTTTCAAGCTGTAAACACACAACTGGATTAGCTCACCTGCAGAATATGCTTTCTTAATATCAATGAAGGCAACATAAATGAAAGAGAATTTGGTCGCTAAAGAAAAACAGGAACAAAACACGGAAGAATATTAACATCTTTGTTTACAAAAGACCAGTTATTCATGTTCCTAATTTAATTTCTATTTTTGGCATTTTTACTGCCAAGTGACATGAAAAAAAGGAATCTCTGTTGCCAAGGCACTCCACAGATGACTGGTGGTAACCTCTCCAGGACAGTCTTTTAGGAAGTAATGTAACAGTACCTGCTAAGCCTCACAATATACCCAGGAAAACTGAAACCAGCCTCTGCACATTCATATCTTTTATTGATGCTTATTGATATGCTTTCCTGAATAAGTGAGTTTTCAATGCTTTTTTGAAGGAATGAAGACTAGGTGAATGCCTAACTGAGAATGGAAGGGAGTTCCACAGGAACGGTGCAGCCCTAGAGAAGTCTTGAAGGTGAGCATCATAAGTGGGAGTATGAATAGAGGATAGACATAGATCTTTGGCAGAGGGTAGAGGCCTAATAGGGACATACTTGTGTATTAAGGAGGATAGGTAGGTTGGAGCAGCATTATATAGTGATTTGTACGCAAGTACCAACATTTTAAATTGAGCCCAATATCAAATGGGAGCCAATGTAGGGACTGACAGAGGAGGGAGGTGCGGGCGGACTGGAAGATGAGCCTCGTTTCCGCACTCATTATAGACTGTATGACATGTAAGACCACTGAGAAGCAGATTGCTTCAGCAACAGCAACATTTGGCAGTCGACTGGATATGAGGGGTGAAGGAGAGGTTGGAGTCAAAGAGAACACTTGGGCAGTGAGCCTACGAGGTAGAAATAATGGTAGCGCCATTGACTTGGAGGGATACACACGGGAGTAGTAACACTTCAGGGAGGAAAGACCACCTGTTTTGGACAGGTCAAGTTTAAGAAATTGAGCAGCCATCCAGTTAGAAAGCATAGTGGCAGTCAGAGATACGAGTCAAGAGCGAGGATGAGAGATCGTTAGAGGACAGATAGATTTCCGTGTCATCTGCATGGAGATGATATCAGACAGGAGCTGATGAGTTTACTAATCGAAGCAGTATAGATCAAGAACAGTAGTGGCCCAAGGACAGAAGGACAGAACCTTGGGGAACGACAACAGAGAGGGGTTGGACAGAAGAGGAAAAGTCAGGGAAAGAAACACAGTAGGAACACAGGGAGAGATTGGAGGAACACAATGAGGAAGACCGAGATTATGGAGGATGAGAAGAAGCTGTTGATGATCAACAGTGTCAAAAGCAGCAGAAATGTCAAGGAGAATTAGGATAGAATATTGACCTTGAGATTTTGCAGTGATTAAGTAATTGGATACTTTGGTCAGAGCTGTTTCGACAGAGTGATGAGCGTGGAATCCAGACTGGGAAGTGGGTCAAGTAGAAAAAGGTTGGATTCAAGGAAGTCAGTCAATCTCGTGGACGCAACTTTCAAGGATCTTGGAGGCAAACTGAGAATGTGAGTTAGGGAGGTAGTTGGATGGGGAGTCAGGGTCAAGGTTGGGCTTTTTTAGAATTAGAGTTAAACTTGCATGTTTGAAGAGTAAAATAAATATGCCAGAAGAGAGGGAGAGATTGAATATTTTAGAGAGAGGCAAAGAAAGAGAAGAAGACAGAGTGTGGTTGAGATACAAAGAATAGGATCGAGGGAACAGATGGTGGTCCGGGAGGACAGAAGCAGAACAGACACCTTTTTTGCTGTAGAGGGTGCAAATGAGCATAGAACAGTGGAGAGAGTGGGATTTGGGGAAGTATTGGTAGAAGAAGGAGAGAGCTAAAAGATTTTCACTGACTGTAGAAATCTCAGTGAACTAAGTTGGAAGGTTTATGCTGGTCAAGTTGGTAGGAGCAACAGGGCACAGAAGAGAGTTAAAAGTGTAAAAGAGGTGCTTGGCCTCACGGGAGAAAGTGGTTGTGACGAGACCAATCTCGCCACATTGCATTGGAGAAGCCTGGTTGCTCGCCTGCTGCCTTTGGACTATGGCCCCCTTTTAAAAGACTTTATTTTTGCCTGCAGAAAAGCTTAATTCGTGCTTTTCTGCCTGGGGTTTGGTAGATTTGTTTGAATGTGTTACACCCCAGATAGGAATCCCATGGAGCCCATTCGTATGAAACTGACTGTAAAGACTTTGGCTCCATGGCGATTAAACTGTATTCGTGTGGTCTGAGCGCCATTCACTTAATAATGTGCGCTCAGACCTGAGCTATCTGGGGATATGTGAAATGTCTGTGTTTTATGTATAAATGTGACTTTATGTATTTTAAAGTGTTTTGTGTCTTTTTGCAACCATGTGCTTAATGGAGTCTTGTGTCTATCCTGGGAGATAATTGAATTACTTATCTCCAGGATAGAAGACTCTGAAACTGGTTTGGGCCAGAAAGCCATGCTTCATTTAGTCACAAAGGACTTTTTACTAACTTTTGAACCCCTTGTCTGATTTGTGCCATTTTTGAATATGTTGTTCCCCTGAATGGATTGATTGTGCATATGTAATTTTATGTGAATGTGATGTATGGTTTTAGAGTTATGAAAGTTGGGTAGAAAGTATGTTTTAACTGTATGTATAATTGAGTTTCCTCTCAGGATAAGGGGAGGGAATATGTGGGATGTAACTGTGATGTGATTGGTTGTTTTATACCTCCCTGTGGGCGGTCCTGTATTTGCAACACTGTAATAAAAACCAGGCTGGGTGTGCCAGCACCTGAGACCACTGCTTGACCCTCAACACGGAGCCTTGTCTCGTTCTTGGGGGGATTCACTGTATGCTGTTAGAGACTGATTGCCAGGAGTGTAAGCTGTTCGTCTGCTTTTCCTGTTCGTCTGCTAGCAGCTATTTGGGAGGTTCCAGTTCGGGAGTTGGAGTGCTATTTTGTATCCAGTTCGGAGTTTTGGTGTTCTGCAGTAGCTGTGCCTGGATCTCTGGAAAGGGGGCCGATCGCCTAAACGGTTTTTACCCCTTGTGTGCAAAACGGTCCGTTACAATTGGTGGCAAGCGGCGGGATCGTTCCTACAGCCAGAAGGACAGCTACAGGAGACACCATTTCTTTGGATTTACAAGTGGGGGCAACGCATGTCCCAGTACAGCGACCCTAAAAGCAACAGAATGGAACCAGCAGTGTTATACAAGGAGGAGGACCTGGATGGCCGGGATGCATTAAGGAAAGGCATCTGGTACCAGGCCCTGGATAATGTACAATACCAGCGGGGTGAGAGTCTCCCCAGTGAAGAGCAGCGGTTGCAGAAGCAAGTGGCCCTGCGGATGCCCTTCCTGGGAGAGCAGCCCCTGGAGGAATGGGTGAAGGAACTAGAGCATCGGGTATGGCAGGAGCTATGGCTGGAGGATGCCTACCAGGCGCTCTGGTGGTATATGGCACAGTATATACCCTGGACAGCTGAGCATGACAAGCCAGAGGGAGAGGAGTTTGATGGTCCTGGCTTGTTATGGGAGTCCTTTGCAGAGCCTGACTTTGGGAGCCCTGCGCAGAACAGACTTCAGGAAATTTTCTACGAGAGGGAGGCTAGGCATGACTGGGATGACCCCCATGAGGTAGAGCAAGACCTGGCTCACCTAGCAACCCTGGAGTGGGAACTGGAGCAGGACTACCGAGATCTCTTCCACTCCATTGGGAAGGCTCCGCAGGACAGCAGAGTGACAGATCCAGTCTCAGACCCATTCAGCTGGGAAGATATTGTTGAAATTTACTGGGAGGAACCCCAGGCGGCAGGTGGAGAGGTCTCTCCACCGGTATTGCAGGGAATTGGGAGCCCGAGCTCCATTCCCCAGCGGCAGTGTAAAGTGCAGGGAGAGGAGAGCAGTATCCTCCCTCCCCAGCGGCAGGCTGAGTTACAGGGGGCAGAGGTAGTTGTTCCTGCCCCCCAGCAGCAGAGTGATATGCCGGGAAGGCAGCGTAAAGTGCAGGGAGAGGAGAGCAGCGTCCTCCCTCCCCAGCGGCAGGCTGAGTTACAGGGGGCAGAGCAGGGCTCGAGTCCTGCAGGAACGCATGGGAACGGCGTTCCTGCACTTTTTCCATAGCAGGAACGCCGTTCCCGTTCCCTGTCCTGCAGGACCGGCCCTGCTACCTGCACTGAGGGGCCGTCACATGCTGTGTTCATTCTCCAGTTATAACTCTCGCGAGACCCGCGGCTGTTACCATGGCAACGCTCCGCACAGGCGAGTCTCGCGAGAGTTAGAGCTGGAGAGGGAACACTGCGTGATGGCCCCTCCAGCATACCACCGGACCACCAGGCGATCTCCCCCCTCCCTGACAAGGTAAGAAGCAGGGAGGGGGGAATAAAATAAAAAAAAATATAAAGTTAAAAAAAATCCTCCCCCCCCCCACACACACATCATCCAGCACTCACACAAACACCCATCATCCAGCACTCACACAAACACCCATCATCCAGCACTCACACAAACACCCATCATCCAGCACTCACACAAACACCCATCATCCAGCACTCACACAAACACCCATCATCCAGCACTCACACAAACACCCATCATCCAGCACTCACACACCCATCATCCAGCACTCACACACACATCATCCAGCACTCACACAAACACCCATCATCCAGCACACACACACACATCATCCCACACACACACCCATCATCCAGCACACACACACATCATCCAGCACACACACATCATCCAACACTCACTCACACATCATCCAGCACTCACACACCCATCATCCAGCACTCACACA